GCATGTGAGGGGGCGTGTTAGGATATAATAAACATTTCTTGAGCCACAACCACAAGCTTGAGCTTTTGGTTGAGTTGGTTCCTTGACAGTATCCAATAGTTGACATACAGGGTCAAAGTGATTAATACTTTCTTAGTCCCATAAATATGTTCCCGTTTTGACTTTTGGGTGATGCTCAAATGAAAGTTCATGTATTCACCTTAGCACGTTACTCACGGAGGAGAAATGACATTCATAATTTGTGATGGAGGGAGTACTATTGTAATTGCAGCCAAACTAGCTATTATATGCATGTGTGTGCGTGCACACACACATATATATAGGATTTTTTTGCCAAAAATCATGTCTTGTGTAGCCTGATAAGTTTTCTTCTACCAATCCCAAAGACCCAAATATTATTACTGGTGTTTCTTATGTCATGTGTTGCCAAATGTCATGCTAAGTACGTAATAATATACTATATATTATCTATTAAGACAACTTTTATCTTGCAATTTTTTGATTTTTATATTTCACTTTCTTTTTTTAAAATAACTTTTTTATGGAGTAAGAAAATTCATTACAATTAAAGTTTGATTTATTTGTAGACTAATCATTCGTGTATTTATAATACATTAGAGTCATTATGACATTATCGATAATGCCTTAATATTTAATTGTTATAAAACTTCAATTTCTAAGTATTTAATTAATAGAACTACACGTACTGTATATAATTTTTAAAAATATCCACCATTTATTCTATTTTAGTATTTCTCAAAAAGATATTATAGAAATTTTATCATATATATACATCTTTATTAACTATGTCATTTGTTTTAAAAAAAACTTTTAATGTGTTACATTTTATATTGAGTAAATTCTCTGAATAATCCTTTATAACTGAAAGTTTTCCACATTTAGTTTATACCGTAGTATTTATTAATTGTTATGTTGAAAGTCCTTATAACCTTATTAATTGGGTGTCATTCCACGTTTGGTCCTCCGTTTATTTTTCCGTCTCTGTGCTGTTACACGAAGACTAAATATGGAATGATACAAAATTAATAAGGACCGCAAACATAATATTTGATTTAGATGGACTAAATATCAAAAACTACTAGTTATAGGACTATTTAGAGAACTTATTCTTTTAAAACCACTTTTAATATAGAATTAATAAATATGAAAAGTGTGTGGTTGTAGTTTATTCATAAAAAGTCAAAATTTGTACACCATAAAAAAATAATTTACCAAAAACGGATTGGTGTTGTTAAAATGGATTAATAACTTTTAATTGCTTTTGGAAAAGAAACGAAACTAGAAATAAAACATGATTTTTCAAAAAAAAACATGAAGAGAGTACCAAAATAGAAATTTCATATATATTTTTATCTCCAAAATAGAATACAATTCTAATAATGCCAATATATTTACCAAAAAATACAATGAGATGCAATAATATTACAATATAAATAATTTTGATTTTGAGGAAATACATATGGAACTCTTGGTTTGATGATAAATGCTATGTGTTACTCTCATTTGGGATGACTCCTTGTTTTTTTTTAATTTTTATCCATTCCAAACTGATTCTCAAATTAAAAAATAAATTTTTTTGTAAACTTTTTTTATGGTGTACAAATTTTGATCTTTTATGATTAAACTACAATAATACATTTTTCATATTTATTAACTTCTATATTAAAAGTGTATTGAAAATAGCAAATTATCTAAATAGTCCTTTATAACTATAACGAGAAGTTAGTCCATATTTATCTAAGGGTCCGTTTGGAAAATAGATGAATGTGTCTGCGCTCCATTTTCAAACATCATCATGGAACAAATTGTAGTTGCGCCGGAATTTACAAATCAGATCAGAGTTTGCGCTTCTCCATCGAAAATTGCCACCACAATCTCCCGCCCCCACAAATCCAACGCAAATCACCATTGTCTATGAAATTGTAGGTGCTCCTCACCGATTTAGATCGAAGTATGTAGAAAATAAAAAGAGAGAAACTGTTGGGACGGTCGACCCACTCGATCGTTCTTCAGCAACGGTCGACCGTTCCGGCACTTCGGCAGCAGCAACAGGCGACGATCGATAGACGCGATGCCGGTCGATCGTGAACAGTAGACGCAGAAAGAGTTGTTTGTCTCTGTAGAACAACCCTTGTCCGACCACTTCTTCAAGAATGATGGTTGGGCGGGATTTCTCGAAAGCAATGTTCTTCGTTGAAAGAGTTCATGATATTCTTTAGTGAGAGAGAACAATCAAAAAAAAAAAAAATATCCCGCCGGTAGGCATTGAATTGTATATGCCCACTGGCAGGGGAAGAAGAATGTTTGAGGTCTCAAGAATTCAAAATTGGTTCCGATACCATGTAGAAAATAAAAAGAGAAAGTATTTCTGTGTATTGAATTGGATTCTGAATTGGTTTCCGAATATAAAGATCTAACCCTCTTTATATAGGAAGAGGATAAAATAAACAAGGAAATTTTTATTCCTATTAAAATAAGAATTAAACAAACTAGGAAAGATACTAAATACTAAACCTAATCCAACTAGGAAAGATACCAAACCTAATCTCAAAGAGATTCGGTTTCCTTCTTCAATCCCGCTTCCTTCTTCTATCTCTAACAAAGTAGTTGCTTCTCAAAGGTAAATTGCCTTTTGCTATGGAGTAGATGAATGTGTTAGACATAATAGTTAAATACTACTTAGTTATGGGGTCTTTGATACACTGCTTCTTCATAAAAACAAATATGCAGGGGAGCTTATTCATCGAGCTGGTGTTGATACTTGTACTCCTGCTCCTACGCCTATCAATCTTCGTTCCTCCACAAATGGTGTTGATATTCCCTTTGCTAATCCACGCCTTTTTCGCAGTCTGGTGGGTGGTCTTGAGTATTTAACTGTTACTCGTCCTAATATTCAATATGCAGTTAATTTTGTTGCTCAAAATATGCATAAACCAACGGATCAAGATTTTATACGTTGAAGTGCATCCTCCGCTATGTTAAGGGCTCTCACACGATGGGTATTGTGTTCCGCAAGGGGGATCTACGTATATGTGGCTATTGGAGTACGGAGAAGCCAACAAGGGTCTCAAAGTCTTCTACGGAAGCTGAGTATCGAGCCCTCTCCGCTACTGCTTCTGAGGTTATGTGGTTAACTTATGTCTTGACTGATTTACGCATCACCACACCACCACCTCTTCTTTACTGTGACAACCAGTCTGCTATTTGCCTTACAAATAATCTAGTTTTTCATAAGCGTATGAAGCACGTGGATACAGATTGTCACTTTCGAGAGCAGGTTCTTGATGGCTCTATGACCGCTGAACATGTTTCTTCCGAGGAGCAACTTGCTGATTTTCTTACAAAGCCCCTCAATTTGCAGCGTTTTCAGACACACATCTCCAAGCTTTCTCTCACATATGCTCGACTCAGCTTGAGGAGAGATGTTAGGCATAATAGTTAAATACTACTCCCTCCGTTTGGAAAAATCCTTCCCATTTTGATTTGGGGCAAAAATAAGGAAGTGTTAAATTATAGTTGATTTCCAATTTTGCCCCTGATGTGATGTGTAAAAGTAAGATGTGATGGATAGATTATTAGAGAAAAAGTATGATGTGATAGGTACGGTATGAAAAAGTAAGGGTAAAAGTGGTTTTTTAATAGAAAAGGAAAGTGTTTTGTTGGAAGTGGAAAAAATGAAAGAGGAAGTGTTTTTGAGAACGGAGAGAGTAATTAGTTATGAGGTCTTTGTGTAATTAGTCTCTAAGTTTCTCTATATATACTGTGTAAGGCTCCCTAATTTAATTGAGTAATAATATTCTCCCAATAGAATGGATATAGAAGGGTGAGTTCTGGATCTTGAAGCGCAAATAGCTATCCCCATCTCAAAGTCTGAGTTAATTTCATTTTCTGTTCATGGTAGCCAAACAATAACAAAAAGGAATTTGACTTTTGGAAAATACCTCATTTTCTAAAAGTCATTTTCCGAAAATCGTTTTACTCATTTTCTCCCTTTCTAAATGGACCCTAATATTATGTTTGCGGTCCTTATTGATTGAGCATCATTTCACGTTTAGTTTTTTCCTAACGGTACAAAGACAGAAAATAGAAGATGGTCAAATGTGAAATAATATCCATTTACTAATAAGATCCGTCAAGAGAATATTTGATAAATATAGACTAAATATGAAAAATCTTTTTATAAAAGACTATTTAGAAAATCTGCTCTTTTGTACTTTGTCATATACCCCAGAGTATTATCTTATTCCTTCCGTCCCAAAATATTTACAACATTTGCTTTTTCAACCGTCACGGGAACTTTTGTTTCTTTCTACGTTTTCATTGGTTATTTGATAAAATAAAATATTATTGATACCTCTTATTTCGACGAACTTTTCATGTACTTTTTTGATATGTAAATTTTATTTTTTATTTATATAACAATATATAAATAAAATGAACTGAAAAACTTGATATTTTACCTCGAGAATACAAGTGTGACAAATATTTAGGGACGGAGGGAGTAACAAATTAAACTAAATAAAGTGAATTATGTGTAGTTGAAGAAGAACATGTGGCTTATGCCATATATACTTCATCCGTCCATAAATGTTTACCACATTTCTAAAAATAAGGCAAAATATCAAAGTTTTTTCAATTTATTTTATTTAAATATTGGTATAGAAATAAAAAAATAAAATTTACATATTTAAAAATACATAAAAAAAATTTCGAAATAAGATATATCAAAAGTATTTTATTTTATCAAATAACCAATGAAAACATACAAATAAACAAATTGGGACCGTTGAAAAAGTAAATACCACCATCATTCTGGGACGCAAAAAGTATATATGGAGTAGACTTTTGGTTACCCAAATCATTGCTCAAATAGAAAATACTCTTTGAAATGTTCAAAGGAAGAAAGTGGGTAAAATTTGTGGAGACCGGAGAGGATGAAGTAAAATTTTAAAATGTACTGTAGATTTAAATAGCCAGCTAGCAAAGAGAATAAAAGCCGCCGCATATATCATGAATGAATGAATAATATTCATTCTTCTTCTTCGATTCACCTTGTTGGGTATATACAGTACTAATTAATTAAAATTTCTTCTCATCTCATCCGTAATAAGTGATATAAATATGATGGGTTATGGATTGGCCGTGGCATCAGCAGCCGCGTGGGGCGTCGGATTGATGATCTTTATTTCAGTGGCGGCGGGGGCGGCAGGGGCAGCAGAGGAGTTACTGTCAGCATATAACCTGACGGGAGGCGGCGGCGGCGGCGGCGGGTGTGGCCTGTTCTACGGGAAATGGGCGGTGGATGGAACCTATCCTCTCTACAACAATAATGGCTGCCCATTTATTGACCCTCAATTCGACTGCCTTAAATATGGACGCCCGGATAAATCCTTCCTCTATTACACGTGGAAACCCGCCGCCGCCGCCGCCGGATCTTGCAACTTTCCCAGGTAATTTAAGTGGTGAGACTTTCCCTCATTTGTTTCAGGAAAGGGTTAAAATCAATGCTCAATTTTGATGTGGTGTGAAAAAATAAAATGGGTGTGTGCACAGATTCGAGGGAGGGGATTTGTTGAAGAGATGGAGGGGGAAGAAGATAATGTATGTGGGCGACTCACTGAGTCTGAACATGTGGCAGTCAATGGCTTGCATGCTTCATTCCGCCGCCGTCGCCGCCGCAAGGGCTTCCTTTTCCTATGCCAGGAACGCCCCCATTCCCTATGTTGCCTTCAAGGTGTGTCTCCTCTACTCTTCTTTTTTATTTAAATTACAAGTATATATCTTTTCTTAATTAACAAGTATTTCTAATTAGTTACAAAAAAAGTTAGGGCCACCTCAACATTTGTAAACGAATTATACATCACATTTGTCATAGATATGCAGACAAAAATTATTTGTGCACTCACAAACAGTTGTTAATAGACTAAGCCGTCACATACAGTTATTGTTTATGCATATCTGTAAAAAACGTGATGTGTAATTGGTGTATCTCTAGCAAAACCCAAATAATTACTTCGTGATTGCTAAGAACCGAAAATTCTCCTTAACCCCGGTCATTGGCAAGTAACGATAGCAATGTTGCCAATCGACAAGCTAGAATGGGAAGAGAGAGTAAAAAGAGTTGGGTGTAAGAATCACTTTCGACCCGAATAGAGCAAAGTGTGCCAATGTGAAATGATCCTTCTAGTGATTAAAAGTTCATTCTTTTTAGACCTTTAGTTGGTCAATAGAGAATCTAAAAAGGATAATGTCTGGGTTCGAATGGCCTTTTTTGCAAACCGTAGGGCATAGCTTGGGTTGATCCGTTGATCTAACCTCCTAATCATATAGAAATAAAATGTATAAATTATATACAGGGTATTTTGAAACAATATCTAAAATTTTAAAAAACAAGATGTGATAAAAATATTTTATTTTAAAAGTAAATATATAAATAAATACTCAGTGAAATCATTGGCGCATCCCCTCCTCGAAAAAGAAGTCAAGATAATTTATCTGGCAATCCATGTGGCATGTTTTATTTTTAAATTTTTTTTAATCCGTGCTTCGATTATTTGGGAGCCAATAATTGATTTGAGAAAAACGACGAAGACGCCACAAAAAAACAGCAGTCCCGTAAGTGGACCGCAATATACTGGGTATTTCCCATTTCCCCGAAATGCTATACTATTAGACTTAATATTTTGACTATTAATATTTATATTTATAAATGGATATATGATATGAAAATTTAATATGTTAAAATCATGTTTCACAAAGAAAACATTGATATTATATTTATATCGAAACACAATATATTTTTTTCATTTATCGATGTCAGAATTTATACTACCTCCGTCTCATTCTCTTTGTCCACTTTTGACATTTGGAACTGTTCATCTAAGCATTTTAACTCATCAAATTCTTTCAATGTGTAAGTCTAAATATAGTCATGTGTGATCTTGTTTGATTTGTCTTAACATATAGATTATTAATATATAATTTTTATAATTTTTTAATATACAAATTACAAGATAAAATGGATTAAAGAAATGCATTGAATGGTGTGCCAAAAGGTAAGTGGACAAAGAGAGTGAGACGGAGGGAGTATATTTTAACCAAGAAAAGTCAAATAAAAAGACCATTTCAGGCATAGGGGTACAATATTGAGGTCAATGCAGAATGGGGAAAATCCATTTTTCTTTAAAAAATCATCCTTACATTCCTCGGATATTTGGAAGGAAATAAACTAAATTCTAATCTCACTTTGATAAATGAGTGTGATCTTCGACCATCGTATCTGAAAGGGTCCGATACTACGCATAGTCATATTTCATCACTATTATTAGAAATACAAAAGTCTACGTTTTGAAAATTTCTTTTAATTTTACTCGTAAGCTTATCAAGAAAATAAAATTGTACGAATGTAATTTATTTACAAAAAAATGTTATTAAGACCATCTGAAAGCAATAATTTTTTTAAACTAGAATAAGTTATAAAACTAGANGTGACTCTTTCTTGGAAAAGTAGGAGTGGTAAGTCAGATTTAGCAATTATTTAATCTTAGTTTTGCTGAAAAGTATTTATACAGGTCAAAATACATCTCTCAATTTATAATCCATAAGTTCAAACAAATTACAAAACATTCAAACATATATTTTGGTGAAGTAGAATAGAAACTCAAGAGTTAGTTCTCAAACAGAGACCTAGTTTAGAAACACTATTTCTAGTTGGCATTTTAGTTAATTTTTTTATAGTGCAGATTAATTTTGAAAAACGCTACTGAGGCAACATTTTCAAAATGATATCGCCAAAAAGTATTTCCATCATCTCCGATGGAGCAAAAATTTTACCATTTTTTGGCTTTGGGGTGTGATGGAATAAATCAAAATGGATCTCTAAATTGTCTGCGCTTCTTTAATTAATGAAGTAACAGTTAGTCAAGCAATGCAACTTTCGATGTTGAGCCGGGGGTCTCTTTGGAAACAGCCTCTCTACTTTCGAGTAGGGGCAAGGTCTGCGCACACACACCCTCCCCAGACCCTACTCTTGTGGGATTTAACTGGGTTGTTGTTGTTGTATCACCAAAAAATGAAATTATTGCCAAACAATAAAAAACACCCTTTTGCTTGTAGTATGGATTGCATATATGTGTGGTAGAAGCAATTGAGGATAAAATTGTAGTCACTCTGCTGCTGATACAAGATTGAGAATGTGCTAACTAGATTTTCACCTGTGTAACACAAAAACAAAAAATACTAGTCCCTAACTTGTATAGTGTGAGAAATGAACTTATCTTATAGTAAATGTAAATGTAGTTGAGAAAAAAACCATTTCCATATTTAAAAAAAGGAAGATCGCAAATATAACGACGTTTGATTTGGTAATGAAGTTGTAAATTCTGGAGCACAAAATCTTGAATACTTGTGGATTCATCTAAATGCAACATGTTGCAGGATTATGACCTAACAATACATTTCTATCACTCAAATTACTTGGTGGATTTAGTGAAGGAAACTAAAGGTATGGTATTGAACTTGGACTCCATCCAACAAGGGGGAGATGTATGGAAATCAATGGATGTTCTCATCTTCAACTCTTGGCACTGGTGGACTCACACCGGAACATCTCAACCGTTAGATCCTCGCTCTTTTTCCCTCCCTCTCTATATACCCATTTATTCCAGACTATTTTGATTTCAGTGTGATCAAAGTTTTCTTCTTTTTTGACTTTTTTTTCTTTTTGGAAGATGGAATATTGTCCAAGATGGAACAAATTCATACAAAGATATGGACCGTTTGGAAGCATTCCGCAAAGGATTAACAACTTGGGGAAAATGGGTTGATCAGAATGTTGATCCTCAGAGGACCAAAGTCTATTTCATGGGAATTTCCCCTTCACATTATATGTAAGCACACAAATATATGATATCAATACCCCTTTTGACCTATATATGCTGCTTGTCATGTTAATTAATCAATAACCCATTATTCCTATAACACACACACATATATATAGGGGTAAGGAGTGGGGCTCACCAAGCAAGACCTGCAGCGGCGAGAAATTGCCAGTGGAAGGATCAATGTATCCAGCAGCAGCAGGAGAAGCAATTGGACCTGAAGAAGTGGTTAAGAAAGTCTTGAATGGAATCCGCAAACCGGTTTATCTGCTTGACATCACGCTTTTATCAGAGTTGAGGAAAGACGCACACCCGTCATATTACAGCGGGGACCACCCGGGCTTGGATTGCAGCCATTGGTGCCTTCCTGGAGTCCCTGATACCTGGAACCACCTCTTATATGCATCTCTATTACAATGATGACGAAGATGATGTTTTTTTCATGTCCCCTCCTTAACTTGTTCTCCTTACCATTGTATAATCAATAACATTCCACTCATTGATCATGCGGATAAGCATTGGTTGTAAATTCATTGATTCTCAAGTAAACTCATTCATTTGTGAGTATATGTTTTTTTCTTCTCTTGATAAATTAGGCTTCACGACTTCCCTCCAAAGAAGGTAAATCAGTAACTCTTTGATCTTTAAAGTTACAAGTGTACTGTGTAACACATACCATAAGGGATATCACAATGGTAAGGGTATGCCATGATATTCAAAAGTGACTATAATAAGCACATCCACAGTTTATATGATCATTCATACAAAGACGTATCCACAAGCAATCAGTTATCTTCATCCATGCCTCACACATAAGATATCCTTGCTAATTTTTCATCCTTTATGTATAACAGAAATGTAAGGCATTGAATTTCATTTCATATGAAGATGGCACACAAAAAACAGGAATGGAGAGAATAGATCTGACCTTTAAGAATGTAAAAAAGATCAATAACCAACATAAACAGCTGCATTTACTATATAACAATCGTCATTCTTATCTCCCATCTCTTCAACATGTACACCACTTGAGCATATTAGTCCGCCATCAACAACCTCAATGTTTGTTATTTTTCCACTGTCATTGAGTGTCGTGACAAGAGAACACCAAACAAATATTAGACATTAGTAAGGAAGTTCAATATTTGATAATAATAACATACATATTGTTCACCCATCTAGCAATAAGAAATAAAAAAAATCAAATCTATTAGTTCTGTTCTATATGCTTCACGTATCAAGAAATATATAAATTTGGGTACCCTTCAAAAAGTACATGAAAAACTACATGTGTTAAATTGGTTGCTGTATTTACTTACTATGGAAAGACCGATTTGACCTTCACAATGTCTAGCATGTGTTGGAGAGACCGTGGAACACCCAATTTAATCTCAAGCTTCATCCCATCAAATGTAACACCAGGTATAGATCCTGCTTCAACCATGAGAAACTTATGATGGAATACAACAAGAGGATTGGTCAACGATAAAATAACAAGACTGTGTCTGTCATTGGATCACTAGCGACGTCTACCATCTACTCTAGTCCATAACAAGTAATACCCCATTCTTGAACAGATCCAAACTTCAAAAAAACAGTGCATCAACCTTAACATGCATATCATGAGTCACATTATCAAGTTTCACTTCAGTCGGAAACAGTTTTCCCTAAAAATTATAACTAGTGCTTTGCTGCTATGAAGATTTTTATCACTTTTCATTTAACAATGAAAATAAACACTTTCCAATATTGATGGTTTCCAATAAGGAAAAGGGAGGGAGGCATCAATCATATCTTCACCTGGCCCATGGTTCAAGGATTTTGGGGAATGAGGGGAAGGAAGAAGAATCCATCAGGTCTCTTTGTTTGTTCATTCCCCACATTCTCAAATTTTGCATAAGATTAACCCTAATTCAAAATGTTATTTGATCCCAGGAGAAAGGATTGCATTTGTCAAACCCTAATGCAAAATCTAGTCACCAAAATTGCTCTGTCCTAGGGTTCAGTAAACTAAAGGCAAAAAAGAGAGCACCTCTTCTGAAGGCAGGGATTGAATTAGACGAAATTGCGTCCCGACAAGCCCGCATTGCTGCGGATGTGATGTCTTGCCTGTTTAATCAACCAATTCATGATGCATACATTTTGCAGATCAAAATCTGCAGACACATACATAAGAAACTACAGAGAGGGACAAGGGGGGAGGGGGATACCCATGTTGATCGTATCCAACGCCCATTTCCACAAAAAGGAGCTTCATTGAAGAACTGGGAGCAGTGGCGGCGGTGGTCACCTGGGAAGGCTCGGCGGCGGCCATGGTTGTTGATGAATTCGAGGTGAAAGCGAAGTGAGTGCGGGTTGAACTGAACGTCAACAGAGAGGGGAGATGAGGACTGGCTTTTGAGAATGGATTTGGAAGGGGAGATTTGTGGGAGGGGAGGAAGACGAACGACTGCTTAATTTGGGGGTTGATTGAGCAAACGGATATCATCGTCTTCCTTGGTCCTCACGGTGGTGTTAGGCCTCGTAACACTATTTTGATAAAGTAGCCCAAGTTTACATGAATTTGTTCGAAAATACAAAATGCAAAATTTAGGATAAAATAAATTCTCGAAATGGTACTCAGTAAAAATGTGTTTTCTTAAATTAGTTATGTTCTCTTCACCTGATCTGGTTAATTCTGATTTGATTGGAATAAATTCTAATTTGATATAATTTGATCTGACCTGAATTTAGTTATATTTAAAGCTATTTCTGACCTGATCTAATCTGATCTGATTTCAATAAGAATAAGTAATAATTAAAAACAATAAGTTAGGGAGAACATGACCTTAGTCTCCAAAAATAATTAATTCCCAAGATGGTACAAGTTAATTAAAAATAATGCTCAGTTCTTCAGTCCCACAACAAATGGTCATTAAACGACGTTAAACTTTATATTACTTTTCCAAAATGGTACTTTCTAACAAGGTATTTTCTCAAATTGGTGTATTTTCGAAATAAAAGTACAAAATTATGGAAAAATATATTAAATTCTAGAGGATGACAATATAATACTTAAAACTATAAATATAATTTTATAAATTTAAAAGTAAAAGTTTTTTATTATTTATAATTATTTAGAAGAATATAATGCAAACAAAATGTTTAATAATCATTACTGTAATCACCCTAAATAGGAGTAAAACATAAAGAGAGTACCAAAGAGAAGCTCTTCTCTATGTTTTGCTCCTATTTGGGGTAATTTCTTCAACAATTATTAAATATTTTGTTTACATGATATTCTTTTAAATAATTATAAATAATTTAAAATGATACTTTCAAATTTATAAACAAAACAACAATAACATCCCAGTTGAATCCCACTACAGTAGGGTCTGGGGAGGGTGTGTGTATGCAGACTTTGCCCCTACTCGGAAGTAGGGAGGCTGTTTCCTATAAAATTTATAAAATTATATTTATAGTTTTTAGTATTATATTATCATCCTATAAAATTTTAAATATTTTTTCATAATTAGTGTACTTTTATTTCGAAAATGGATCAATTTGAGAAAACTCTCAGTTAGAAAGTATCGTTTTAGAAAAGCAGTATAAAGTTTAACATCTTTTTTTAGCCATTTTACAGCCGTTAGTCAGGAACGACTGAACTGAGCATTATTCTCCATTATCGAGTATCATTTCGAGAATTAGTTAGTTTCGAGAAATAATTTGGAAAAATACATAGTTATTGGGTACCATTCTAGGAATTTGCTTTTTATGATATTGTTTGTATGAACGACTTTATACTCTCCCGTCCTAAATCTTTACTTTTTACGCAAAACAAAGTAAATTTTCAAGTTTTTTCAAGTCATTTATTTTAAGATTGGTATATAAATAAAAAATAAAACTTATATATTTAAAAATATATCAAAAGTTCTACAAAAAAGAGGTGATAAGAATATCTTATTTCACCAAATAGTCAATAAAAACACATAAATAAACAAAAATTCTCACAATTTTTAAAAAAGTAAAGTGTAAATTATTTGGGGGTGGATGGAGTAAAAATTACTCCGAGGTACCCTTAATTTTTTGTTAATAACTTTCAGGTCTCATATTATCATAACTCCTGATTTTCTAGTAAGGACTCTCAAGTCCCACATTTTTCTAAATATACTTCGGGGGTCCTTAAAATTTGTGGTAATGTACTCCGAGGGTACATTCCGCCTATTTAGCCGTTATGATTGAAAGTCCTCTTACTATAATAATTATACAAATTCACATTCATAATCACTATTTTATTAAATTTAAATAAAAATCTTCAATTTGTTAAAATAAAAGAATTTTTAATCTAATGTCTAAATTGAGAGATGTACGTTGAGGATATAATATTGCAAATTTTAAGGACCTCGGATTATATTTCAGATAATGTAGAATCTGAGAGATTTTATTAAAAAATTGAGGATACTCGAAGTATATTTTAGATAATGTGGGATCTAGAAATTATTACCTGAAAATCGAGGGTACCCAAGAGTAACCCTAAAAATGACACGAGAATGTTCCGGGCATCTACATTGCTCTATTAGTAAAATTGATGATTCTTACCCCTCTCTTAAACCTCTACTGTAGCCTCCATCCATGCCCACCCTTCCCCTCACCCCAACCTGCTCCCTCGGGGGGCTGAGGTTGGGATGGGGGTTTAAAAGGGGCTTAGCGAGGTGTTCCAAAATGCTCCATAATGCCTGAGGCACATTAAATTAAATTATTTTTTCTAAGGTCAAAAGAAAATTGCAGTTATTATTATTATTATTATTATTATTATTATTATTGTTATTATTATTATTATTATCATTATCATCATCATCATCATCATTATCATTATCATTATTATTATTCTTAAACGGGCGGCTTCTGGCATGTTATCATTATCATTATTATTATTCTTAAACGGGCGGCTTCTGGCATGAATATAAAAGTCAAGTGCGGCCCTCAAGTTTGTAATCCCATGATTGTTACGGAGTATGTGTCTGGTCGAGCATTAGTGTCTGTTAATGTGTACTCTAGGCAAGGAGTATCTGACCCGGTTAGAACTTAGAGCCCAGCTAAGAGCATCTCCAATGTATAGGGTATAAAGTGGTAGTCTAAAATCAATTTTACATTATCAACAGTGTTATACACACCCAATTTTTAATAACTACTCCAATCATATCTTTTATATAATACACTTTTTTAATTTTTTTTATTATTTTAAATTATTTATTCATAATACTTATTTTAATTCATAGTTTGATTATTAGAATGGAGAATGTCCCTTACGAATAAAATTACAATATGTAAAAGATATAGAATTAACTCACAATAAATGAAGAAATGAATTAACAAAAGGACGAATGTGAAGTAAATTGAGAAGAAGAAAGAGAAATAAAAAAAGAGAGGAAAAGGATTAGTAATAGTGATCTTGTATAAATAGAAGGTGGGAGTGGTATTTTGCACTATAGTGCATTTTACCATTAGGTATACACAATGCATTGGAGAGGAAAAATATAAATAGTAAATGGCATAAAGTGTATATTTAAGCATATACACTATGCATTGTAGTTGCTCTAAGAGGTCTGAAATGCAAGAAGAGATCTAACTCATTTAAGGGTATGTTTCATTCAATTTGTTATTTATTCTTATTAAAATGATATCAGATTAAATCTAATGAGATCAAATTCAATCAGATCAAATCAGACCAGACTAGATCAAATCAGAAACAACTATAAATGCAACTATAATTAGATTAGATCCACTCAAAAAAATTAGACTAGATCCAATCAGATCATACCAAATCTTTAAAATAAATTGATCAGATCTAATAAAATCAGGCAAACAAAACGTAGTCTGAGTGATAACACTGAGCTTCAACACTCAGTCTCTGCACTCGACCCCAACAACCGGCCTCATCCCCCGACCCCTGCAACTGGTGTCGGCACTCTGCCTCAACCCTGGCCTAGTACTCGGCGGTATTAACCTTAGAATTCAGTTGAGAAAGCCTTTAGTGTAACTCGAGGTCGGCCTTATTTAGAATCCTATATATATCGACTGTAGACCACATAACAATCGAGAGTTAGGAAAATTTGGAATTATGCACTTGAGGGAACCAAGTCTTACCAAGCAATCTAGCAATAGTACTCATAGAACTTTTCTAATTTCACATTTTCACCAACATTTTCTTAGCTCTATCTTTCTTTCTAGAGTCCACCCTCTAGAGTCTAGACCTTAAGTTCTCATAACCTATCACATGTATACCCAAAATCCTAACCCAATCCCATCTTTTGTGTGTTGAGTACCCGAACCCAAATGGATCTACCCATATGATACCCTAAATTAGTACTCCCTTCGTCCTAAAAAGAATCGTGTGTTATTGTTTACGAGGTTTGACTAAAATTATTCTTAAATTCAGTTTATTTTAAAATAGTGTGGAATTAAAAAATAAAATTCATATATTTTAAAAATACATCAAAAATTCTACAAAATATAAGGTAACAAGATTATATTATTATCTCGAATGCATAGCAAAAATGGTTCAAAATGCAATTAAAGTTTAATCTTATGAATAGAAAAATGCAACTTAAATTAAGACAGAAGAAATATTACAACTGACGTGATCTTCTCAATCAATTAGATAAATGATTTGTTCAATCCATGCCATATATGCCCCCATTGACCACATATCATTTTGGATCTTGTTGCATTGAAAAGGGCACAGTTGCCTCACATGCTCCATTCAAATCAGAGGAAGATCTCAAATTTACATGTAAGTTTGTGTGAGAAATGAGAACAAATTTGAGGCACATAGAGTGGACAGTTCTTCTATCTATAATCCCACCGTCCGAAAATAAAATAAAGCTTACACCTTTTACAATCAAAGTAAACAAATTTCGATCGTCATAAAAATAAAAATGACATTGCGTAACAATGCAAAAATAATTTCATTCGATTTCCATCGCAAACAACTTTCGCAAAATTAATTTGTGGTAATTTTTTAAATTTACATTGTGTCAGATAAAAATGGTTAAATTTTCACCTAAAAACCATGACAGTAGAAAGTCCAAGGTGAAGCATGATTTTTTTTCTTTCAGAAATGATCACTCACACTATGTACTCAACTGTGAAAGAGTACTCATCCATTTGGTCAGGGACATTCCAATAATTAGTTAAAAGTAAATAAAATAAATAATACAAATATTATTATTATATAGCAAAAAACAGAGCAGAGATGATTGCTAGAGATTAGCAAGGTAAAGAAGAAGAAGAAGAAGATGAAGATGAAGATAGAGGAGTCTTGTAGTGGTGGGCTGCTTTGTCTCTCAGTTCTTCAAATGCCTTCATCGTTTCCACGTCAAAACCACCCGCAAACTGATCAATCAAACACATTTATACGATCGTAATTTACCTTGATAAAAAAGAGGCTTAATAGGGGAATAATTTATTTTGCAGTAATATTTTTTTTACTTGTGTAATTTTTACCTGGTGTACTCTGAAGGCAAACCTGACACCTTGAACAATTAGCTCTTCTTCGTCCGGACAACCACCAACCATCTCAAGCTCTGCAGACACCCGTTTCATGTACTTCATCGCCAGTTTAACCGACGCCAGCTTCATCTGTATGTACAATGAAAATGGACATACATCATAGTCACATTTATTTACTCTGTATTTTTTTATTGTATCAAGAAAGTCATAATGGTCAGTTAAAAAAGAACGGAAGAAAGTATAGTTGATGGAGTTATATGGCACCACATAGTTCACTGCAAACAAGGTCAATTGTACAATGCAAATTCGTGCCTTTAGTGAAGTTTTTCAACAGGGGTAATCATGTCATTATTACTAAAACAAGCTTGCAATACATGACAAGAGACATAAACAGGTTTTGCACACGACCAAATTGTGTTGATGAGATTTTGTAGATTTGACATGTGGGCATCCTGTGAATCACATTTTCCATCTTTTGTCATCTATCTAGCTATCACTCCCCAGTCCCCACAGTCCAAATCTCCAATACTCACCTCCCACTGTCCTAAAACAATTATATTTCATATTGGACTCTGTGATTCTTATTAAGAAAGGTAAATTTGTGTTGTAAAATGACGAGTTTCATTTGGGACAGATAAAAAAGTAAACGTGTAACATTTTTACGAGACCGAGAGAGTTATATTCAATGGACTGTGATGCAACAACAACAAAAACTCCTCTGATTTAAGTAACATGGGGGGTTTCAACAATCTTTTACAACCAGACAGGTGAATAAATGGTAGGGTGGTCCTCAACATAAATCCAAATTCATTTTGAAAGAATACAAAGAAACCAACTATCATTTGGCATACTCTCTCCGTTCTGAAAAAAACTTTACCCGTTGACTTCCACAAAGTTTTAAAAAAGCGTTGGGAAGTAAAAAGTGTATGGTTAGAATGTGTATAAATGAAAAATATCTTGTGAATCACATATTCATTACTAATAAAGGAAATAAAGTAAAGTGTTTTTTGGGACCGAATGCGAAAAAAGGGTTCCCCGTAATACTTCCAATTTAGCACTGCAAAATTCTAACAATCCACATTTATTGAATTAAGTTTAAACTTTTCATTGGACTCAACTTGGTTCCCAACAATGTAATTTGGACCAGATTTTCTTTTGGGGATGAGGTTTTGAACCTTGGTGGGAATCCACCAAGCTAAAGCCACCACCCCAGTTTAGAGTTCAAGGAAGGTAAAAACAAAAGAAGAGTTCAAGGAAGCATAAGTCTTTTTTACCTGACTAGCATAACCTGTGTCCAACATCCAGTCCATAGGAATATGAAACAATCTGTATCTATTGCTAGCAGTTTCCCTCATTCTTGACAAATTGTAAACACCATGCTCTAATCTGTCAGAATTCAAACCCAATGAACACAGAGTTACTACTGCAATTTGGTAGGCAAAGAAACAGAGGAGAGGGAAGGAGGACAAATTTTATAATGAAGTATTTCATACTTTTCAAACAAGGCCTGCATTTTTTTAAGAGCTGGACCAGAGGATTGCCTATAATCTTCATCTCGGAACGAAGATGCCTCCGTGACAAGCTTCTTCATATCGCTATACCCAAATGCCGCTTCCCTTAGAGCATCTGCTTTTTGCTCGGGCCATTCAAAGTGTTTCAACACTGCCCTTTCATCAACCTACACTTTTTAAAATCATTCAGAATCTATCCATTTCAAATCATTATTCCCTCCGGATTAAGTAATCTTTTCCCCTTCAGTTCAGTACTACTTAGCTTAAAATTACACAACACTCAATTCACCACTACTTAGTTCAGTTCAGTTAAGATAAGTTCCACCGAAGGGCTCCTGAATCCGGTCGGATGGATTATATGGTAAAGAATCAAAAGCTGAGATCTTTGTTTTGTACCAGGTAAGAGAGCTCATCATCAAGCCATTTAACGAACAGCAAAACATCCTCAATGTCTGTAAATGCAGCACTCTCTACCTCTTTGATCAAGAATCTTATGAAATCTCCTTGTACTTCTACATCTGTCTTGATCTGTGCATTTGTGAAGATTGATTTTTTAAAACAGTAAGGAAACTATTGATGGGTGAATATTTAAATGCTACATTAAACCATTTGGATTTCAAAATCCACACTGTCTTTTCCTGTTTAAGAAAGAACCAATGGAATATACAGTACAAATGGCAAAGGACAAAATGAGCATAATAAGACTTACTGCTAGTAAATGCGAAGAACGGTTCTCAATTTCACCTATCATATCCTTGGTGGTGGCCGTCCCCGGAGTTGGAGCGTCACATGGGCCTCCTGACTCCCGCCGGGAGTCCCTTCGCATCAGAGAATGATAAAATTCCACCACCTCCGGTACCCTTCTAACTTTTGCTGGGAGGGGTTTTAGTAGACCCTTTGGTGGGGGAGGTGGCGGCGGAGGTGCCGCCTTACTGGAATGTGGAGCCGGTGGAGGAGGAGGTACCGGTGGAGCAATTGGCTTTGATGACACCGTGGGTGGAGGGGGAGGCGGCGGCGGAATGTGGGTAACTTCTGGTACTTCGCGGCTTGCCGAATCTGTTAAAGATCCAGACGAAGACCGTCTAGGAGGAGGCTTAGGAACCCTAGGAACTCGGGATCTTAAGCTCAACAAACTCTCGGAAGTCTCCGCCGTTTCCTCGGAGCTAGACCGAGAATACCATGGCCTTTCACTGACCTCGATGGACCCTTCCTCTTTCCTGCTCTTCTCGAACTCACCCTTACCGTTGTCACTCGTTACTGAGAAGCTGGGCTGAGTCGCGCATTTTCTCAAACACTTGGTGGGCACCGATTTGTGACTCGTACTGGTAGATTCTGGCAATCTCTGAGTTAATGCCAGATCTTCATTCATCTTCCTCAGCTCCAAAATCTCTGTTTCCATATGTTTCAGCTTCTCCTCGTAGCGTCCGTTTTGCTTGAAGATCTCCATGTGTAAAATCTCGACTTCCATTCTGAGCCTGTCATTCTCCGCCTCCAAGCACTCGACTTTCCGGCGAGACCGTTCCAATTCCGAATCTCTGGCCGAAATCTCGCTCTCGAGGACAGGGACAATCGCCGCCGATTCTTTGAGAAGTTTCTGCTCGAGAAGCTCGGTCTTCAACCGGGACTCCCTCTCTCGCAAGACCTCGACCAGACGGAGTAGCTCGGTGACGTCCGGCGGGCGGGGCTGGACCTGGGCGGAGGCGCGTGGGAAGTAAACGCCGAAGGAACGAGAAAAGAGTGCGCCTTTCTGGGTTTGCTTGCCGGAGCTCGGGGACGGAGAATGCGGCTTCGGAGATGGATCTGATTTGGGTGGTTTGGAGTTCGCCGGCGATTTCTGCAAACCCATTGCTACTTTGACTTTGCCAGCAACCATGGTTGCCGCATGTGATTCAATGCGGACACGACTGTACTTCCACCACTTCACCTCTCTTTCTCTCTCTCTCCCTAGAAATTAGCCGTTGTGTTCTCAGGCCGGAACAATGGGGATTTCGTGTAGAAAAGTGTTTTTGAGTTTTGAGTTTCGGAAAGAGACAGACAAACGACTCTATGAGGGCACAAACGACGAAGAGGAACGGTCTTTTTTCTACCCTTTTAATTATTTGTTCAGTTTGACTTTTTCGATTTAAATTGGATAAATTTTAAATTTTAATTAAATAAAAATCATAATGTATTTTGACATAAAAATAATTTTATTGAATTTATCGTATTGAGAATTTTCAAAATTGTATTTCATTATGCGAATATGCAATATAAATTGAAAATAATTGGAATTCAAAGTTTATCCATTTTGACTCGAAAAAGTCAAACAGGAATATACTGACGGAGGTAGTATTTTCTTTTTCTTTTCTCCGTATCCATGAATTCCATATAGATGGGATGTGTTATTACAAAATTTGTATAACTTTATTTTTATCAAATATCGAATTTAAATACGGATCTTGACGGAAGCTAAAAAATCAAAATTATTTTCGCATTCGTCGGATATCGGATATATCCATATCTGTTTGTAAATTTTCTAAGCCAAATTAAACTATATACGGAGTAGTATATAATTATATATCAATATTTTGATATATTCATTCAATTAAAATTTTTCATCACAGAATAATATTTTTCTTACTCCGTTTTTATTTATATTATTCTACAAAAACTCATATAGTAAAAAGTATTTCATACTCAACATACATAGTTACACACCTACTTTTCACGTCCACACATATATTTTAAATATAAAGATGTCTTAAACTTTGAAACGTTAATAGAAAATATATGTATGTATGTGCGTGTGTGTGTGTGTGTGTGTGTATATATATATATATATATATATATATATATATTCTTGTGAGAATGAGATCCTAAGAGATAATTGAGAATGCATGTGGTGCTCTAGAATTTGAGATCTATGGGCCGTAAAATTTTTAAACATAAGAAAAAATTTAAAAAATGTGGTAGCAGTTACATAATTTAATTGAACTTTGTAAAATGCAATTCCTGCATAGAAAAATGCACCATGGCAAACTACATGCTTTTTAAAATGCACCATTCTCATACACACACACAGTTGCCATTTGTTTTTAACGCAGAACTCCCTTCTGTTTTTTTCTCGGTGGCCGATCCTCTTCACTGAAAAATAAGAAGAAAATATTTACAATATTATTCTAGATTTATATTTTATATTCAAGTACTATACTGTGAAGAATTTACTAGCATAAAATCTTCCAAGAATATTGTTCGTTAATTTTTTTAACCGAATTCAATATCTAATTATTTCCAAGAACTTATTAAGTCTAATTTTTTAAATATAATGTTCAAGTCTTATGGTCTATTAAACTATTACTCTTTTTCTTCTATCTAAAACACTCATTTTGGTTTACAATAATTGACTAAAGTTATTTTCAATACCTCCATACAAGTTATTTGACAATTGAGATGAAAATAAAAATAATTACTGAAATTAAATATAACATAAAAACTTTATGAAACAAGAAGTAACATAATTATTATTTATTTAACTGAGTAACTAGAAAAAAGAAGAAAGAATAAAGTTTGACTCTCTTAATTGTAAACGGCTAACCAAATTTGGGACGCAAGTAGTAAATTATTAGTTGATTTATAATTTATAGAGAGTATATTTTTAACAAAAATCAATCATTTATCTTTCTTAATGATTCATCTAAAAAACTATTTTTAAAACTTGCTAACTTAAAATAAAAAAATACGATAACAGATGTAAAAAAAAGTCACCCGAACAATATTAAAATTAGCTAACTTTTAAAATATAGGAGTACATATTCTATTTAGGTATTTTAGTAATTTACTCCCTCCGTTCTTAAATATTTGCCACACTTTTATTCTCGAGGCAAAAGTGTTAATCACTATAATGATGATGCAAACAAACACCTAAACTCTAAATTTTAACCTTCTTCCAAACAGGGTCTTAAGTCTTTGGAAGTTTTGGTGGGTTATTGCGATTAGGCAGGGCTGTAAGGGCTGTTGGTTTGAATTTTGATTGCCTAATTTCCACCTCCGTATTGATCATTTTGAATTTCATTTCTTTTCCAACTTTTTTACGGAGTAATTTCTTGTGTCCTTTCCACACTTTTTTGATTCGAATTGCTAAAAGAAAGTTTACATGATTAGGGAGCAATTATTTTATTTTCAATTTAAAGGCAACTTAATAAAACTCATGTCAATTAAAGCAAAAACAATGGGGATAGAGGGTTGAATCATTTTGAATTGAAATAAGATAACCAAAGAGTGAAGTTGAAGCCAAGAAATTCAAAAAAAGTTTTTGGTTTGCGTTAAAATTAAGTGAGAAAATGAAGAGAAAAATGTTTGGATGAATAAAAAATGATAAGAAAATGGAGATAAAAGAGAGGAATAATGAAAATTTTGTAATTTGGGGTATGTTCTATTGTTTGGCACGGTTTTGGCATCATGGTTGATGAGAAAGTTCTTAATATGTTTCACATAGACATGAGTGTTTGTGTGTGTCTATGAGAAGGAATAGTAAAGGAAGTGCAAGCAGTAACAGAGGGAGAAGTCAGTCAAAGACTCGAGATAGCTCAGACGTAACATGTTGGAAGTGCAAGGAGGTGGGGCGTTCTAATTTAAGAATCAATGTCCAAAAGAGGATAAGCAAGTAAACATTGTCTAAGGCTCCACGAGTGACGAGGATTTGTTTTTCTATTGTGCGGAGAGTAGTTTGGATTCCCGAGTCATGGATTCTCGTGCCTCATTTCATGCTACCCACAACAGTGAAGCATTACAGAATTTGGTTATTCGAAACTTTGGAAAGATACGACTAGTGGACGATAGAACTCTTGATGTTACGGGCATGTGTGACATAGTGTTATTATCACTTTGAAAATTTACTCTTTTCACTTTAAGGCCCCAACTTAAAATATTCAAACCCTAATTTCTTCTTCTTCTTCTTCCCCTCTTTCTTTGGAAAAACACATTTATAGTAAGGAGAATTTACATAAATAGCACTAAAACATAATGACTTTCCCTAAATAGCAGTATATATGTTTTTTTTCCAATATAACACTTTTAGTTATTATTCATTAGTCATTATTCAAGTAAACGTTGGCCATCACTAGTCATTATTTCTCTTTCTAGACACTATTAAGTGTTATTTAGAAAATAAAACAATTTAAGTGCTATTTAGAGAAATGACTTAATTTTTAGTGCTACTAGTATTTAACCCGTGCAACGCACGGGGTCGAACGCATATTGTTTTTAACTCTGTTAAATTTTTAGTTTTAGTAAATGATTAAAAATATAGCTAAATATAATATACAATGTTAGAAGTTTAATGAATGATATGACATAAACAGAGTATGTTAACACATTTTTTGTGCAATTGCAAGGGTTACCGTTGTCATCTAAAACTAACACTTTTAATCATTTCTTAGTTTTCACTCGTGAAATTGCAACATAAAGTTGACGGTGAGTGAATACCGATTTGGTCAAGAATAATCTAACAAATGATAGTGTTTGGCCTTGACTCTTATTGATAATCATGCCAAAACATTAAGTTATTAGAAATTGTCTTCTTTGAAACTTAAACGGTAATCCAGGATCTGACGGTGCCAAATTCATTCATGGTATGTAAACTTTCTCCTGACATTATTTCCCGATACAACAATTGCACCGATAACATTCCTTCGCAACTTTTCAACTATTAACCTTGTACCATTACACAACCCAGATATTTGATCAATGTTTCTTAATAACTTAATTGGTACTCCTTCAAAACAATTCAGTGGTTTGAAATCCCAGAACACTTGATAACGTTAAAAAACTCAGTTGTTATCCAATCACCATCTATTCCTACATCTAAATCTGTTTGACATGAACAATTAGAGCTCAAATATTTCTTTTTATCTCTAGGAATAAGAGACAAAACAAAACCATTGATCATTTCAACAACTTCAAGTGTGGGTGCTAATAAAGCCTTATCCATAAAAAAGTATAATCTTTCATATTTTCTAATAAGTCTATATACGTGAATTCCATTATACTCTTAAGTTGAGAACTTGAGTTCAGGATCAAGGATTCAGATGGAATTTCAATTTCACCAATTCCATCATTAACCACGCCAAGCTGTCCATCTCCAATCTTGATTATCCACTCTGGAAAAAAGTTGTGTGTCACTGTTAGTGTGGCAGCAATGTAAATACTTTTCAATATGACCACAAACTCGATGAAAAAAATTGGTCATAAAAAATGATTTCAGATCATTATGTTTATTTTAACTCGTGCTCTTATGAATCGTTAGACATCTGCGATTAAAGCAGCAGGTATGCTAAAATGCTTCGTCCTTTACTCGTTAGAAATTGACTCATGGCAAAAGAACATTGAAGGCTAAAGTACTCAAATAGAATAACTCAAGGCTAAACATTCATTCAAAGCTTAAAATATTAAGATTGAATAAACTAATGGCTTCAATGCTTAAAGGGAGGCTTCCGTATTTCTATATCCATATTATCCATTATTAATAAAGACGTTAAAAGTTGATACACTCACGATTGAAATCCAAATAAGTCAACACTGAAAATTCAATTTGTTCAAAATTGAATTACAGAGGAAGAAATCAAAAGAGAAGATGAACACAATCCAAAACTTCATCCATTTCAAGGTTGTCTTTAATTAGTTAACAGCAAGGGGGTATGTAAAGATCTAAGAAAAGAAAAATGAATCAAAAAGAAGTTTCAAATCAATACCCGTTGACATTTTGCAAATTCTGCTACTTCGTAGCTTTCAATATGTGGTCTTTCCTTCCGCCGCATCGTTTTATATATATAGTTGTGGAAATTTCAAGCGATTTCGACTCCAACCTTGCCACCTTTTCCTATCTTTCTATGAGTAAAAAGATAAACAAACTTGAATTGTTGCATGAATAATAAATGTTGAAATTAAGGAAGAATACACAGAGATATTTTAATACATTTGATTGAGTTTTTGGAACAAACCAATTTCAAATGAATCTTCTCCAAATTTGGCAAATCTTCTCTAGATTCTACCCCTGGGATGCACGGTAAGAATACTATACAAAGTAATAGTAATCAATGTAATATATAAATAACATACAATCACACACGTTACTACACAATAATACAGTGAGAATGAAAGCATATCTAATTTTATACTTCTAATAAGCCCTCGCCTCTCAAAATACTATTAGTAAAACCCAAATCACATAATCATTAGCTGAAACCTTATATCAGTAAATCAAAACAAAAATCAGATGAAGTCTTAAAAGGAAAATAAAATGGCATCAAACTCTCATTATAGTTATTAGAGAGTCTAGACCATAGGTGAGAAAGCACAAATTTTCGTTTTGCTTCTCGTTAAAAGAACATATGTTATTTAAAGAAATTGATGTTCAAAGAATTTACCTTGATGATGCAACTTGGGAAAAACATTGAGTTAGAGACCCTTGTGTTTTGCCTAGGTTTGAAGGTCACCATTTCAAAAAAGACTCATCAAGAGTCAAACCATGTCAGTCTCATTTAGCATATTACGGAGTATAAAACTGAAAATCTATATGCAGTTTTAGTATGTAATGTTTCTATTTTAGAATTGATGCAGTTGAAATCTAAAATGAATAATACCCTATATAAATGCCAGTTATCAGTGTTACCTCCATTGTTGCTGTAAAATTTGATATCGTAGGCAGGGCCATAATGCTCTTGAACCCATCAAATAGGCACTGCAAGAGGTGCTAACAATCTACACCAAAACCAAATAAAAAACAAAAAAACCCTAAATACAAAAAATAGAGTAATTATTATAGGCATATACATCTATTGCATAAAAGAACATCTTCAGAAATGGTGTACATATTGATATTTACACGATTTATCAATCTAATGTTAAAAATCATACAAAATGAAAGTTTAGTATATTCTTTGTATATGAAAGCAACTTAAACATTGATTCAAAAAAGGCCACAATAAGTTACTACAAACTAAACCTTGATATGAAAATATTTTCTGATTAAATTTACTTTTGTCAAATTATTTCTCTTTGTAAGTGCAAGCATGTCAATATCCCAAAAACAGATCAAAATAAAATTAAAAACTAAAAAAATATACACTTTAGAAAAATCGGTCTCAACACCATTTAATAAATAGAATAATCCTTTGTTCTCTCATACCTTGCCAATAGACTTTCCATACCACGAAGGCAAAACAAACAAATCATTACATTTTTTTAATAAACAAAACACAGAATTGCAGGGGAGATAAAAAAATTCTAAGCTTAAGAGTGAGATTTATCACCTTAGAAGACTTTAAAGCTTAAAGAAATTGAAGTTTTGTGGGAACCTGACCCACCTTCGAGCTTTGATATATCCAGGCTTGTTTATGGCATTTGTTGGGTGAAATAGGATAACCTCACAACTATTGATTGAAGTATGCCTATTAGAGAAACGAAGCAGTGTGAAATGTTACCTAGACTCTCCTTCTCATTGAGGTAATTTGTCGAACACATATTGAGCATTGCTTAAGTAATCTAGATTGCAAAACAACTCCACTTTTGAAGTAAAAAATCAGACTTATGGTTAAGTAAGTCTATAAAATGAAAGATAAAAAAGAAAAAGACATGTAGCTACTGATTTTGCAGGGCCAAAAAAATTTAAAATAAAAGCACAATTGCCTAAGAAAATTAATCAAAGAGCATTTGGTCACCCATACGAATTAAGCAAAAGAAAAATGGAAGAATTTCAAATTAAAAATGGATTGGGAATCGCGGATGAATGACAATTAAATATGAATTTTTTTAAATAAAAATTTTTTTGCTAACACACTGACCCGTATGATTTGATTTCTTTCTCATAGACGAAAAATTAAAATAATTCTTTGGAGAGAAAGTAATATAAATCCCAGATTTAGTTCGATTAAACACATACATAAATACAAAAAAGAATCAATAATTCGAAACATACCTAATTTGGAGATCCCTGTTTTGGACTGCACCGATAGATCCGCGACACGATGAAGAAGGAAGTTTCTATTTTAATCTCCCCGAATCCTTGAATAGTTGTATGAAATCTGGAAGTTCATGTGTTCCTTCCTTCTTCGCCCAATTGCAGAAAGGAAACCTAGGAATTTTCTTCGGTGAAGGAAGATGGCCGAACGGCTGGTCTCTAGAGTATTGACGCGTGGAAGGCTGATGTGTCAAAAAAATAGTACTCTAAAACTGCCACGTGTCAAAATTCTAAGCTATCAACTCTCAAATATTATATTAAAGGATTTAGTGCAAATATTTCTTATAATAATATTAATTAGCTAATCAGTCCCATTTTTTCCTTTCACAAAAAAACAAATCCTATTTGATGAATAAAAATAAAATAGTCTTATTGGGGAATATGAGCCTTGTTTTAGTCTCAACTAAAAATAATGTCAAGAAACCAATTCAATTAAAAGTTCAAACTTATAGTTGTGACACATGAAAGGTTTTTATATTCCAATACGTCCACTCACATGAAGGGGAAGTATTTTTTGAGCCTTGCACGTCATGTAACTTTAACTTTTTAAAAAGAATTAGGTGACACTGAGTTTCAAACATGTGATCTCTTAGTCAATAAAGCTTCAATACCATGTTAGAACCTTGTTGACTAAGATGTCAGAACTTCGATAATTTGCGCTAGTGGCGCCACCTAGTTTAAAAGAAATTAAAGTTTCGCAAGTAAGACTTGAAAAGACTACGTCTGCACGTGAGGAGACTTGTTATTAGAATATAAAAAAAATTATGGGTTACAATTACTAATTGAGGAATTTACCTTAATAGCACTAAAACATAATGACTTTCCCTAAATAGCACTACATGTATTTTTTTCCCAATGTGGCACTTTTAGTCATTATCCATTAGTCATTATTCAAGTAAATCTTTGCCATCACCGGTCATTATAGACATTATTAAGTGCTATTTAGGAAATAAAATAATTTAAGTGGTATTTAGAGAAATGACTTAAGTTTTAGTGCTAAATAGAGCAAATGTTTCTTACTAATTAATTGAACTTTTGATTGAAGTGATTGCTTGAAAAATACTCCCTCCGCCAAAAAGATTGGTACATTTTGACTAAAGTGGTAAAATAAGGAGAGATATTTTGGTGTTAACTTTCCAAAAATACCCTTGATGTGATGGGTAAAAGTAGGATGTGATGGGTAGATTATTAGGAAAAAGATATGATGTGATAGGTATGGTATGAAAAAGTAAGGGATAAAAGTGGTTTTTTAATACTCCGTAGAAATGTAAAGGACTTTAAGGGACGCAGATTTTTCGAACGTAAGTGACTTCAACATGACAATCTCATTTTTTGAAAACTTATCTTTAAAGGAATAAACTATTGGAACTACAATTCCATTCAACAATCTTAGCCAACAACAGTATTCAATATGACAATCTCATTTTTTGAAGACGAATGCTAGGGGTACATCATTTGGGGTACCCCATTTGTACACCATCAATCTTAACCCTCCATTTCTTTTTTCATTTTTAAATTCTTTTTTCTCTTTTACTATTGTGTGGTGGAGATGGAGAGGGGTACAAATGGGGTACCCCAAATGGTGTACCCCTAGCTTTTTTCTTTTTTGAATTCTATATAATTGAATTGAGCATTGTGAATAAAAAATAAAAGAAGATAAATACAGCAATTAATGATCAACCATCTGCATGCTTGCTTGCCTTCCTAGCTAACCACTTCGAATAATGATGATGATGATGATTATGATAGTAATAATAATAATAATAATAATAATAATAATAATAATAAATAAAAAGAATAATAAGAATAAGAATAAGAATAATAATAATAATAATAATAATATAATGATATTAATATAATGATTAACAGATCAGAGTTGAGCCAGCAGGTTGTGGGCAGGATAATAAGGGCATAATGCGTTCACGGGGGGATAGGTAAAAGGGCCGTCTAATAAGGCATTGGTGATGACGGAATAAGCCGTTTCCGTCAAGTGGTAGCCATCCCAGTTGACGTACATGGACGGATTCTCACAGAAGGTGGCTCCCTCGTCTCCGCATTGAACGCCGGGGTTGAAGTTGTATGGACCTCCTCCGCCGCAGCACGCCGTCAACGCCCCCTCTGAAAATCCTGCATGGCCACGTTATTTTTAGATTTGAACCCATCACTCAGGGCTGGTCCGAGGATTCAGTGGCCCTAGACGAGATGAAAAAATGGGCTTTGGCTCTATTGCTCTAAGAATAGTCCCGATGATCCAGTGGTTCTGGGTATAAACTATTTTTTTTAAACAAAAATTAAGATTATAATACTCCGTAATACTTATATCGGAATTATAATACTCATCCGTCCTATAAAGCCCTTCATGTTTGAAAGAAGGCATCTCTTAAAAAATGAGTAATTTTAGAGTTATTTTCTTATTATGACTCATCTATTCTACACATCTCATCCTATTCTATTATAAAGTAAGAGCAGTATTAAAAAATAATACTAATATTATTCATTTCAATGGTGTGACTTTTCAAACGAGGAGGATTTTATGGGACGGATGGAGTATTATAATAAAATACTGTAATAGAAACCTTTAAAAACTACTCTCTCCATCCCAAAAAGATTTATACGTTTCAAAAAAATTACGTTCCACAATCCTTTACGCATTTCTATTAGAAAACCATTTTTACCCATTACTTTTTCAAACCCTACCTATCACATCATACCTTTTTCCTAATAATCTACACATCACATCATACTTTTACCCATCACATCAAGGGTATTTTTGGAAAAGTCAACACAAAATTATTCCCACCTTAATTTCTAATTTGGTCAAAACGTACCCATCTTTATGGGACGGAGGGAGTATGTTTTTAATTTTTTTTATAAAAAGATATCCTATAAATTTATATTTAAAAAATTTAAAATGTTAGGAACCCAACAAAATGAACATGGGCCAGTAGAGCACCTTGGCCCACCTTAATTGGGCCGGCCCTACAATCACATTAAATGAAGAAAACAATGAAGGTACAAGTAGACATAGCAAGGAATAAGAAGTTCAAGGAACTAATTCAACAAAAAAAAGTCATGTTTCTTATTGTAGGCTAATGAAGGATCTTAAAAATTGTTCCTAAATAGAAGTAAATTGTCATCAAAATATCAAAATAGGACTATATTATTTTTTATCTTTTAAATGATGATATTGTACGTGTTGATCGATAATATAACAATATAAATAGTGACATTGTGATGGTGGAATATGGGGAGAGTGTGATGGTGGACCAATGGCCAACAGTGGTCAACACCGGCGATGGAACTTCCCTAATCCACAGCTGTGCTCTGGCAACCTACGACGGAGAACCGGCGACCGATGGTCGCATTTCAATGACAATGTGACGTAACAGTACAGCAGTGTGCAGTGTGGGAGTGACAATGTAAACTCTTATTAATTATATAGTCTAAATAGTGCGGAGTATATCTTACCGGATGTTGCGGGGTCGGCGTAAATTTGGATGGCAGCGTGGAAGAGATCGGCGTAAACAATATGGGCGTTGGGATGGCGATCTCGAAGGCGATTGAGTTGTTCTTGGAGGAGATGGTTGTGGTAAGACGCCATTTGGTTCACCCAAATGAGACAGCCATTTTCATCGTAGTCTTCTTCCTTGGGACTTGGGTAATATGTCAAGTACGAAGCTGCGCAACCCAGTGGCAGCACGCTTGGTACCATCACCGTCCTTGCTCCTGCCTCCACCAATCTCTGCACCACCATTTTAATAAGTTTCTCTAGTGTCCTACTCCGTATGTATTTATTCAGCTTTCTTGTTCGCTCCATCCGTATTACTCGTACAATATTTTGACTTTTTGTAATCAACCGTAAAAAACTTTTGACATATAATTAAATAAAAATTACATGGCATATTAATAAGATAAAATAATGTTTTGAAAATATTCTCAAAGATAAATAAAATAAAATTATTTTTTGTATAAAAAATGAATAATATAATCTTCCTCATTGGATTAAAATTTTATCTAAAATCATTTTCGTTTTAAATTATGAAGTCTCTTTCTTGAGAACGAAAAATTAAGAAGTACGGAGTATCTAAATATTGATGTAAAGTTTTTTTAAAAAAACTATATTTGTTCTTGATTATTTGTTCTGTTCTAACTTTTTGCAGTCAATCATTTTCAATTTTTGACCTATAATTAAATAAAATTTATATTGTATATCGATTAGATTAAAGAATATTTCAAAAATATTGTATAAAACAAATGCAATAAAATTAATTTGGTATCAATATCTAATGGTACGTGCGTCACGAAGTATTTGTCTAGTTTTGTTTTTTTTCAGTCAACCATTTTCAACTTTGACCTATAATTAAATAAAATATATTTTATATTAACTAGATAAAATAATATTTTAAAAATACTTTATATAATAAATATAATAAAAGTATTTTTGTATCAATATCTAATACTATTCTTATTTAATTTGGCGTTAAAATTTACCAATTTTGAAAAAAAAAGTCAAAAGTGGACAAATACTATGGGACGTAGGGAGCATTATTTAAGTAATTAGTGGTCAATATTTGTCAATTTTAATTGGAAAAAGTCAAAACTAGATATATACACAAAATAGAGGTGCTAAGAAATACGGAGTACTTTGTATATAATTTAAACTCATACATAAAAAAAGCTGAATTAAACAATAGAAGATGTTTTAATTATTTTATTTTAAAAAATGATTATAAAAATAAAAGAAATTATAAAAAGTGGATAAGCGAGTGCATTGTTGTTTTTATTCAAATTATTATTATTTGTATGATTATGATGATGATGATTATTATTATTATTAGTATTAGTACCATAGTTTTCAGAACCAGACCGGAGACCGAACCGGTCAAGGTACTGGTTCACTGGTCGGACCGGTGGTTCAAGTGGTCGAACCAGTGGTTCACACATATTTAAAAATTCAATATATATATATATATATATATATATATATATATATATATATAGTTATTTATTGAAACAAATAAATAATTATAAAATAAGAGGCTATATTTTTTATTTTATAATTTGCACAATATTTTTAAAATATTTAAATGAGTTAATAGTTTTGTGATATGAAGTTCATATTAGAATCAATTGCATCAATATTTTAGAATTTGAATCAAAGTTTTAACATTATATTTTTAAAATTTTTAAACATAAAAAAAGTCTTTTTAGAATATGTATACTCCCCCCGTCCCATAAAGTGTTACCCTTTTTGACTAAAGTTGAAATTAAGAGAGTGATAATTTTGTGTTGACTTTTCAAAAATACCATTGATTTGATGGGTAAAAATAGGATGTGATGTGTAGATTATTAGGAAAAAGTTATGATGTGATAGGTAGAGTTTGAAAAAGTAAAGGGTAAAAGTTGTTTTTTAATAGAAATGGGTAAGGGATAGTGGGACGCAATTTTTTTAAAACGTGTAAATCTTTTTGGGACGAAATGAGTATTTGTTCATGCAACAAAAGGGATGGTAGCTAAATGGTAGATAGCCGAATTGGTGGGCAGTAGGTTGTGTGTTCGAAATCCATTAGTAACAATTTTCGAGACATTTGTGCAAAAAAAAAAAAAAACTGGTCACTGGTTAAACCGGACTGGTTCTCACCGGTTCGTGCCGATTCGGTGCACCTACCGGTCTTTGGGGCTGGACCGGACCGATTTGACCCCCGGTTTGCCGGTTACCGGTCCAAACCGGTCGGTCCGGTCCAGTTTTTAAAACTATGGGTATTACTATTATTATTATACAGAGTATAATTTTGAATTTAGATAATGAACAATTAATGGTGAAGATGCGTACTTTGCCCAAGTACGTAAAGTTAAATGTGACTGTGTCTTTCATTTTGTTATACAAGTAGTTTTTTTGCTATCTTTCCTTACGTAAAATTAATGAAATGGATGAAAGAGAATTTTTAAATATAAATCGATGAATTTTAATTTAAGGGACGAAGATATTACGTAGTAGTTCTTACATTGACACCATTGGCAATGGTTTGAGCGACGATTGGGATAAAGGGCGTGATGTCATTCACATTCTTTCCCGAAAGAAGCGCGTGGGTATAGTCATTGCCACCGAACTCTCCCAATACAAACAAAGACTCTTCCATCACACGCTTGCAATCTGTAATTAATTTATTAATTAAGTAATTACTTCCTAATTAATTAATTACAGCATTACGGATGAAAAAGAAAGAAAATGAAAAAGAAAGAGTTTTTTAAAAAGTAAATTCCATAATTGGTCTTTTATAATAGGGGGTTTCCATATTTAGTACTCTATTATCGAATATTACCCTCGTATTCCTTTTTTAAGGGTGCCTTTCCACAAATGTTACTTTTTTTCATCTTCTGCCATATGGGTGTTAATTTAAAGGCTAACAGTATAATTTGACATCAACATTATGTCTAGTGACGTGTTCTGATATTGGTTAAGAGGATAACACAAAAATAATAATTATGATTGTGGACTAGGATTCCGACGTAAAACCAAATTTCTAGACTATGGTTGTAGTAGAAAGCGAATTTAATTCACAAACGATGCAAACGGAACAACCTTTGGAATTGTGTTTGACAAAAAAAGATATATTATTATTGTGAAATTACATTTTTAGCACTCAAATTAACACCAACATGATAGAAGATCAAAAAAAGGACTATTTGTGAAAAGATACTCATAAAAAAGGACCACTAGGGTAATACTAGTATTTGATAATAGAGAACTAAATAAGGAAACCCTCTGTTATAAAGGACCAATTATGTAATTTACTCTTTTTTAAATTACCGGAAGAAGGAGAGTTGCAGAGAGATGGAAGCGCATTTAGTAGGAACCAGTCCAATTGGTCCGTCATGGACACGTTTGTGACCGTATCGTAAATTCCTCTTCGTTCGTAAAACTGGGCATCAACCGCACGTGATCCCACCACCGCGAAGTTCATACCATTGTTGTTGTTGTTGTTGTTATTATTATTATTTGGATCGCTTGTTTTAATATCCTTCAACTTCTGCAGGGAAGGTGGCGGTATGTCCAACCCATAATGCTGTGCTGCAAATAAAAAATAAGATTAAAAAAATAAAAAATTCGTGCCAAAGTTTGATAAGTCAAGCCTACAAAAATACTCTTCCTTCTTATTAATGACTTCCTCCTTTCCAAATTTTGAACAATCAATTTTTCTATAGATACGTAATAATCGTGTACATAGTAATTATTTTATATTCCATCCTTCCCATAAAATCTTTCCTTCTTGAAAAAGGATGCATCCTTAAAATGTATAATTTTAGTATAATTATATCACCTCTAATTTTATAGATCTTTTCATATAGTTTTTAAATATGTCATTTTTATTTTTTAATTCCATAAGAATTTTCATATAAAATAATTTGAACATAAATTTAATTGAATATTATATCATACTTAGGAATCATTTTATTAGATGTAGGGAATACATATTTAGACGGAGTATGTACACATTAGGGGTGTTCAAAAATATCCGATCCGAAATATCCGTCCACGATCCGGGCCGATCCGATCCGAAAAATGGATATCCGATCCGATATTTTAGCTTGCGGATATTTCGGATCGGATACCCAAAAAAAATCGGATCGGATATGGATTAAATTTTTGGATTTTTTCGGATAATCGGATATCCGATTTTTTAAAACGATATACAAAAACCTTAAAATACCTATATATAATACTGATATACAAATTTACATTAAAATACAACTAAAACCTTTAGTGGGTAAAACCTGAAAAACGTAATCGTAAAATCTTAAAAAACAAAATTATCACAAAAAAACGAACAAATCCGTTTTAATGGTTTCAATGAGGGTTTAATTATTTGGTATCATTTTTTAATTAGGCCATTACCAAGTGGTGGAATTTTTCTTTTAGTAAATCTATATTGAATTTGATATTTTGGGTTGATTTTGCTATTTTACCTTTTTTTTGTAAATTTTGGCTAAAAACTCAACTTTTCGGATAATCCAATGATCCGATCCGAAAAATCAGATATCCGAATTTCGGATATCCGAATATTTTCGGATCGGATATGGAATGAGTTTTGCATGATCCGAAATTTTCGGATATCCGAATATTCGGATCGGATCGGATCGGATCGATCCGATTGAATACCCCTAGTACACATACTCTCTCCGTCCCCAATTTAATTACAATTTTTTTCTCACCTCTCGATAACTTTTGTTTGTTTACGCAATTTCATTAAGTATTTGATAAAATAAAATATTCTTGTCACCACTTATTTTGTAGAATTTTTAATATAATTTTTTAATATGTAATTTTGTTTCTTATCGATATAGCGAGTTATAATTAAATAAAATAATTAAAAGAAATATTTTTGCTCGTAAACCCCAATTTGATTAAGAAGGCCTCCAAAGTAAAAATATGAATTATGCAAACATTATCCACGTGCAAAATTGGACTTAGTAAGTGTAAAGGACACATTTTTGTGTGTTATACTGTAAATCTGTAATGTAACTATGTAAGGTATGTGTGATTGGGAGGTCTTTTCTAGTCCCAATTTATCTATGAGGATTTACTTAAATAGCACTAAAACATAATGACTTTCTCTAAATAGCATTACATATGTTTTTCTTCCCAATGTAGCACTTTTAGTCATTATGCATTAGTCATTATTCAAGTAGATATTCACCATCACTGGACATTATGGACATTATAAAGTGTTATTTAGGGAATAAAACAATTTAAGTATTATTTGTGGAAATGACTTAAGTTTTAGTGCTATTTAGTGCAAATATTTCTTTATCTATCTTGCATTTACTCATTCGGACCGAGTTTTGTTTCTTTTCTATCGAGCAATGTTGGGTTCACATGTTAAATACTTACAAAATTCACAAAGTTAATATTTATAGTTCAAATTTTAATTTTAAAATTATTTTAAAATATTTTATTATTTTCTTAAGGTTCAAAGATAATAAATTTATGAGATTTGTGATCATTTTATTTGTGAACCTAACATTTTCCGTTTTTATCTACAAAGGTTAGAGGACAATCCACAATTCCAATTAATGCACTACAAAAGTACTCCCTCCGTTCCACAAAACGATTCCCATTTTGACTTTAGGCAAAAATAAGGAAAGTGTAATTTTGGTTGACTTTTCAATTTTGCTCCTGATAAAAGTCAAAAATAAGGAAAGTGTAATTTTGGTTGACTTTTCAATTTTGCTCCTGATGTGATGAGAAAAAGTAAGATGTGATAGTTTGATTATTAGTGAAAAAGTATGATGTGATAGGTAGGGTATGAAAAAGTATGGGTAAAACTTAAAAGTGGTTTTTTAATAGAAAGTGGAAGTGTTTTGTGGAAAACAAAAAAAAACGAAAGGGGAAAGGTTTTGTGGAACGGATGGAGTGGGTACTTCCACTCCCTCTATCTATTACGGATTAATTTTTTTCTACTTTTTTTAGATTGTTTATAAATTGTTTTCATAATTCTTATTTTAGCAAAAATCTTCTAATGAATGAATGTAATATTATACTTCTATTTTTTTATTATATTATTCATTTTATTAAATCACATTATATTATTCATTTAATTAAATCACATTATGAAATATGGAAAGTCTTTATATTTTCTAATTAATTTTTCTTAATCTTCGCGCCAAGTTAAAATGGAAAATAAATTGTGAGACAGAGGCAGTATCAGTTTTGTTAATAAGAAAAAACCTCTCTTCTTATTTTTGTTGGAACATCTAAAAAAGTGCAATCTTTTTTCTTTTATGTGTTAGAGTATCTCACATCAGAAAGTAAGAAGAAATTATTGGTATATAAGCTCCTAAATTAACTAAATAATCAATTACATTCAATCTTTTAATATAATACTCCGTATGACCCAAATGTCTTATATATGACCTAGAAGTTCAATCGTAGTGGCACATTTAATTTGTGTTTAGCCCATCAATTCGTGGTTCTTTAGGTGTTGACACCTTGCACTTTGGATCCTTTCATTTTCTGGGGAGGGAGGGTCAATTTTCAGGTGGTGAATCGGTTAGATTCCTCTCAAAAGGGAATGTTAAAATGTCCCACATTGAAAAAGTGAAAAGAAAATATTGAGCATATATGTTCTTGAATTAAACTAAAGAATCGTTTGAATTCAATCTTTTAATACGTAGTTTAATTTAAACTCACAATCTTTCTCTCTCTTTTGCATCACTTTCCCTTCAATAACATATTTTTACTCCGTATTTCTTAGACTTTGTACCATCACTTTCAATAACATAGAAATTTAATTTATTTGAAAGTTACTATAAGTTGACTATTTTATTACGAACTTGTTTCTCACTTCCTGGAAGGAGTATTTTTTTGAATTAATGAGTAATGGAGTGCATGCAGTTTTTAAAAATTGTTTACTTCTAATAAATATTATCTTCACAACCATTTTACAAAAGAATTCATTTATGATGAGATAATATAAAAGATTGTGAAACTTAGAATATAAAATTAAGTAAAACATTTTTTAGTTAAGAACTCAAAAAAAAAATAAGCATACATACCTATGAAATCGAGGATGAGTCGGCCGTCGGAGCAGCGGCCAGTGGGATGGCCAAAGAAGGTTTCTCCGTACGGAGAAAAGTACATGTGGGGGACCTTGCCGCCGGTCTGGAGGTGGATTAGGTGTCCGGCGTCGGTGAGGGAGTCGCCGAAGCCAAAGATGGCCGTGTAGCATGCGGCGGCGCCGCCGATTATATACGACGCTAATAATAGTATGGGAACATAAGAAGAGGAGAAACGAACCATAACGATGACTTTTGAACGCCAAGCCAAATTGAATGTTTGCGTCGTGTTTGTGAGTGCGTTAGCATTTATAGCTATGTGAGGAGTCATGTGGGCAATAGATGGGAGATTCCGTTTTCTACACCACCTCGTCCATGCTAATCGAGGAGTCGGTCGGATCAATCAACTTGTATCCATGGTAGCACTAACTAGTCTACCAAAAAATCATCCGATCTATTTTTTACTCGAAATTCGATTCGAAAACACTCGATTTTGAATAGAGATTTTGATGACCGAACTCGAAGCTGATCGAATTCGAAGTGACCTGCTAAAAATGAGTCAAATCCGACCGAACTCGAACCCGATCTGATCGACCTGCTAATGTAGGAATTTTTTTTTCAAAATCGTATGTTTTACTACTCGTTCTTAGGTTATAAATTTATATTTTCAGACAACATTTTTATAATATTGCATAAATATCTTACTTTTTCTAAAACTTATGTACGAGTATTTTTTAATTCTTTATATCGATTTATATAACTAAAAAATATTTCAGAATTTAAAATAAACTAATCTAATAGATTTAATACGTAGTACATGTTTTTTGATATTTTAAATTTATTCAATACAAATTGTTAGTGTTAATGTGAATTTATATTTATATCTATATGTGTGTATATATATGTATATATTGCCTATATTTTAATGTATTTGCCTAGTTTTTCAAGTCAAAGTTTATGAATTTTAATTTAGATTTTAATTAAACAAAAATTCTAATGTATATGTAATATAATAACGATTTAATTAAATTTACTTATCGAGAACTTCTAAAATTAGATTTCATTGAACTAAAAAACATACTCCTTTCGTTTCTTAAAACCCTTCCTCTTTCATTTTTTTTTTGTTTTTCTTAAAACACTTCCCCTTTCTATTAAAAAACCACTTTTACCCCCTACTTTTTCATACCCTACCTATCACATCAAACTTTTTCACTAATAACTAAACTATCACATTTTACTTTTACCCATCACATCAGGGGCAAAATTGGAAAGTCAACTAAAATTACACTTTCCTTATTTCCCCCAAAAGTCAAAATAGGAACCATTTTGAGAAACGGAGGGAGTAGTACTCCGTACAATGCAAATTGAAAGTATTTAATAAATAAAGTTTATCTGGTTTAATTTGAAAAGGTCGAACTAGGCAACTACACTAGAATAGAGAGAGTATATTTTATGAAACTTGAACCGGAAGTGTTTGAAAATAGCTATAAGCTTAATCTAATTATGAGTACGTCCATTATATTAATAGGTCCATTATTACTAAGGCTCCGTTCCGTTCAACTTATTTTTTCTGATCTGATTTTAATAAGTTCTGATCTGATCTGATCTGATTGAATCTGATCTGATCTGATCTGATTGAATCTGATCTGATCTGATTCGATTAGATCTGATCTGATCTGATTGGATCTGATCTGATTAATTATGATTTAATTTAAAATTTCAAATCAATAATTTGATTTGACTTTATAATAACGTTTGAAAATTGTAATGATAATTCATATTATAATAAAATCAATATTTTTTATTTAATAATTATTTTTTAATAAAATAAAAATGGTTAATTCATATATTAGAATAATCATTCATATTTTAATGTAATAATATTTTTTATTTTATGATTATTTTTTTGTGAAATCATAATATTAATTTAATAATTTAATAATTGCTTCATATATACATTAAAATAAATATTTAATTTAGATATACATTAAAAAGTAATTAAATTTAGATAATCAATATATAGAAGAGATAGTATTTTTATTAAAATATCTTATCCTTATAAAAGGTCAAATCTTTAGAAACTCAAATTACAAGTAACAATAAAAATATATTTTAAAAGTAGAATTAGATTGACATTGTCAATGTATTTTAAAACTAATTTTTCCGACGTCTAATAATTAAGGATTACTTTCTCAGTTTTCTATTTAACCTATTTCTAAAGTTTAGTCTTTTCATTTTCAAGAATAATAATAATAATAATAATAATAACAATAATAATAATAATAATAATAATTCTTGATGGGATCTGATTTTAATAAGTCCTGATTGGATCTGATCTAATTGGATCTGATCTGATCTGATTGGATCTGATCTAATCTGATTGGATCTGATCTGATCTGATTTTAATAAGATTAAGAAAAAATAAGTTGAACAGAACGGGCCTAAGTCCTAATACATATCCTAAAGCTCCCCTCAAATTGTGAATGAAGATAACATATGAGCAGCTGGAGCAATAAAATTAGAATTAGAAAATAAAACAATTTGATAAACGACTTGGACAAAACTTTAATTTGCTACGCCAACAACAGATGAAGGTTGCCAATCGAGCTAATGATCAACATTAATGACCAATGACTACCACATGGTGACACATGGGTGACTAACAAGCACCCCAAACTTAGACAAAGTGTTACGAGACTGAGGTGCGATATACCCCAAAAATTAACATGTTGAACATACCATTGGTTGCAATTGAACGTACCAAAAAGCAACCAAACACAATGTTATAAAACAATTCACTTTGCGGTGAACAGCGGTGGCGGTGACCAGGCCAGCGACTACACCGGTGACAAGCTTAATTTGTTATGAACAATTCACTTCAGTTCAGCTGAAGAACACACGCACCACTTGATTGCAGCTACTTGAGACCCAATACTGCCATGACAATCAATAATATAATGTGCATGTATTGACCCTGCTAGATTAAATTATCCAATTTTGTTAAAGTAGATGCAATTTGTAATACAATTGAAGCCATTTATTTTGAATGGGATCGGAGAGAGTCTACGTACCTATTTGGGCTTCCCTACGGTTGACTGAACTTTCTTCGCCACTTCCAAACCCATTTTCCCAGATGTACTCAACCCTTTGGAACATGGACAACAGCAACAAAGATTCCTGCGTTCATTCACCCAAACCAAACCAATTAATAGCGTACATTAATTAACATTCAGATAATCTTAGAGCTCATGTACTCCATCCGTTCTCAAAAACACTTCCTCTTTCATTTTTTTCACTTGCAACAAAATACTTTCACTTTCTATTAAAAAATCACTTTTACTCTTACTTTTTCATACCCTACCTATCACATCATACTTTTTCTCTAATAATCTACCCATCACATCTTACTTTTACCCATCACATCAAGAGCAAAATTGGAAGTCAACTACAATTTAACACTTCCTTATTTTTCCACTTTTTCAAAGTAGGAACTCTTTTTGAGAACGGAGGGAGTATATAATAATGGTGTGGAATATAATTGCCTTGCCATGCCTGCCAACTCGCCATCTCTTCTCCATTTGACTTGCGTGACTGTGCCGTTCCTCCACGCCCAGCAAGTCATGTGCGAGGCAAGGTGTTCCAATTTCTTTTTTTTTGTTTTTTGCATTAAAAAAATTTTTATTTATAGATATATAATATGGAGTATAATTTTTAATAATTAAAATACATTAAAAAAAGGGAAAAAAGACAATACTAATAATGACTTGACACTAGGGGTGTATACGAATTGAATCGAAACAAATATATCACTATTCGATTCGTATTCGATTAAAGTGATATGTATTCGAATTCGGATTCATATATAATTCGAATTTTAAAAAATATTCGTATTCGATTCGATAGATATTTGACATATTTGAATTCGTATTCGAATTCAAAAATATTAGTAATTTTTTTCTTAAAACAAATTTCTTAACGACATTAAATTATTATTTTATAATAATGTAAAATGTAGTAAAAATATGTTAGAATATATATAAATTTATTTATAAATTATAATATTCGAATATATATAAATATATATGTACACAAAAATTTAATATATTAGAATATATATAAATTTATTTATAAATTATAATATTCGAATAATTTGAATAATAAACGAATTGAATCTATTAATATTTGTATTCAAATTCGAAAATAATTCGAATCTAAAACATGATTTGTATTCGGATTCGAATTCGAATATAGCGAATACGAATCATCCTTTTCGAATACGAATCACGAATCGAATACATTTTATTTGATTTGTATGCACCCTTAAACTTGACACTATAGGACATGCATGTCATTTCACTCACTGACGGACTTATTTTTTATTAGTTGAAATGTGCTACATCAACGCGTGATTTTTGATTTCTTTACTTGTTATTGTTGATGCTCTTATAACATGTCATATTAACTTTGAAAGCGTCAAACTTTAACAGTATTATTAGTTTACCTTTTCAAAATATTAAAGTTAAACACTCAAGTTTTTACCAAACGGTGCCTCGTTTGTAAAAATGAAGGTTCCTATTCCCCTAACCTTCCCCGGCCCTAACCCACTCAATATAAGGAAAGAAATTAAAAAAAGCATAGTTAGTTTGACCTTTTTAGAACTATTAACTCTACTATGGAGTACTTGTACAATATAATATAATACTCCATTCCTCTAAAAAGTCTTTTTATTTTTGTGTCACACAAAGTCTTTCTTTTTTTAATTAAAAAATCATTTTACTTCTACTAATTATTATTCTACTTATCATATTATATTTTCTAAGTAATAATCTATCCATCACATCTTACTTTTATTCATAACATTAAGAATATTTTTTAAGAGACATTACAAAAATATCCATATCTCAAGTACCCAGAAACTCAAAATGAGAATGCCTTTATGAGATTGAATAAGTACGGAGTATTTGTTTATGTTGTACTCCGAACTTTCATGAATAAAGAATCAACATCTCAGTGAAATTGAATCTTTGATTTCAAGGAGAAACCACAAGGGTAATGGTACGGAGTATATCCCACTTATACCGCCATGCTTTGCACTTGCAAAGCACTCGTATACACTAGCACGAAATGTCATTGCCAAACACTATCGCATTCTAGGACGGAGTATACAAATAAAGTATACTCTGTATTTGGTTGGGTACCTCTACTTGGATCATCTTTTTCAAGCTCATTATATATTTACCTGACCTCTTATTTTCTAAAACTTTAGAAGAAAATTGGGGAAATTAAGAAAGATTAATAGAGGAGTCGGGGATGAAATAACAATTACGGAATATATATATATATATATATATATATATATATATATATATATATATATATATATATATGTATGTATATATACTTACTCCGCCACCCAAACAATGCGGCCGGCTATGTTTAGTCCGCAGGTGAATGCCCGGCAGAGAAGGCCAAAGAAACAGCGAAAGGGATTCCGACTTTTACCATTCTCCGGCGATTCTCCGCCGCAACAGAAACAGAAGCATCTACCGCAGCATCTACCAATACTGCTGCAGCATTTACCGCAGTTCCTGCAGCATTTACCGCAGCATTTACCAATACCGCTGCAGCATTCACCGCAGCACCGGCAGCAACATTTACATATACCATCCTTCCCACAGCAGCAACACATTAATTAATTAATTGATTAATTAATTAATTACTCTTATTTTTGTTGTTTACTCCGTATATGATATGAAATAGATACGGAGTATGTAGTAGAAGCTAAGTGGTTAAACGTTTTTAACTAGTGGTGTACTTGAAGAATGTGTTTATTGATCAGATCGATATATAGACTGAAATTACAACGACACTAGCTCGTTCATCACTTTAATTTGGGGGTGATGATGGTGTTTTGTTACTATTCATTTTTTTTCAAAAGAGATGTTTGAAAAATGTTGCCCCAATCTAAGTACTTTGACTAATCAAATTCCCTCAATGTGTAAGCCTAAATATAGTCATGTGTGATCTTGTTTGATTTGTCTTAAGATATAGATTATTAATACTCCGTATATAATTTCTATAATTTTTTAATATACAAATTACAAGATAAAATGGATTAAAGACGTGTATTGGATGATGTGTAAAAATGAAAGCGGACAAATACTCTGGGACGGAGGTAGTACTCATTTTGTCCCAAAATATTTGTCACATTGCGCAAAATGAGGAAAATTTTTAGTTTTTCTTATTTTTTTAAAATTTGGTATAGAAATAAAAATGAAATTTACATATTTAAATACCACGTCAAAAAATTTTTCAAAACAAAATGTGATAAAAATATTTTACTTTATCAAATAATCGATGAAAATTATAAATAAATAAAAGTTCATCTCATTTTTTGAATAGTCAACTCTGGCTTCTTTTTTTTGACAAAAGAAGTATAATGAGTGATCCACTAGCTACTAAAGCTTAGGGGGAAGACTGCTTTTTGATCGATGGAGTGTTTGAACCGGCATCCATGTTAAATTTGGATTATACAAATGAAATGCTTTTGAATCACGATTTGGAAAAATTTCAAACATCTTCAAACTAAAAAAAAGGATAGGAGAAGAAGAGTTTAAATTGAGAGAATAGATTAAAGAAAGATGAGAGCAAAGACTAGAAGAAGAAGGGAGATTATCAAAAAATTGCTGCCAGGTACTCCAATTTTGGGATAAAGACTGACAGGTCACATTTTTTCTAAATATACTCTTGGGGGCTTAAAATATGTTGTTTGTAATTGAGGAGGGAATTTCCGTCCATTGCACCGTTTGCTGTCTTACCTCTGATTATTTTAATTATAAAAGGTATTGAAATGCCTAATATAACCATCACTCTTAAATAACACCGGTGGATATGCAATCTCATGTGTGTATGCTTTGGTAGCATAACTCTTGTATTGCATTACCACATTATTAAATAACACTGGTAGGTACGCAAGAAAATAATAAAATTGAATAGGTGCGCAATTGAATAATGTGACAAACGTGCTTTGGTTTGCATTCTTGGAGTATATCTTGATGGAGGGCCGAGCTCCGGAATGTATCTTGTTTTGCCTAAAATGCATGAGCCATATATGATAGTATCCTAAGGTGAATTTCTTGAAACACGTGTCACATCTTTTTATTGACCTTGATCTTTTCTTGATAGCGAGTTAACATTTTAGATTTCTTTCGTCCACCCACAAAAGCCTTAGTCATGCCACTTCATCCATCCCCTACCTCTTCATCACTCATCTATTTCAACCATCTCGATCACTTCATGTCTTCATCCATCTCTTATACCTTCACCCTTTTCTTATCCCTTCACCCCTCATCTATCTCTTATCAATCACCTTTATCTCATCTAAAGGCCTCTTGATTATGCTTAGAGGTTAGATTGTGAACAATTTTCTTTACGTGAAAATATGAGCAAATTAGTATAATCTTGTGAGCTTGTGTGATTCTTTTATGTTTTCATGTCATTAAAAACCATTTGTGAGCTTTGTTGAGTTGTCTTGGTTTATATCCTTGACATATACTTGATTCTTCTATTTGTCATAGATTGACAGAAGTGCATATATGTCCCATTCGATAAATTTAGTTCTTGATTGTTTGAGGACAAATAATGATTTAAGTGTGGGAAAGTTGATAAGTCTAATATTTGTACATACTTAATTGTGTATTTATTTTCAAATTTGTAATATGGGCTGATTTGTGATGATTGCTTGGGTTTAAGGCCCAATTACAATTTGAGGAATTAAACTGCAAATATGTTGGAACATATGGGGCTAATATCTTATTTTTAGAAAATCATTTAATGGTGATTATATCTCCCAGGCTTCCAGATTCTTTGTTCGGTCAGTCTTGCGCGACCCGACCCACCACCAACGATGACGACGAATCCAATGAGCGCCGGCGAATAGGCAACACGAGGAGCAGTCGGACTCCGTCCAATTGCCGGCGAAAAGCTCCAATCCAGCAACCGTCGGTGGTCCAGCGCATCGAACTTCGGCGAGTTTCCACCAGCGGCCACATCCCATTCCGACCAGCAACGGCGGCCTAGCTCCATTTCAGCTCCGGCCTCTCAACTCCCAGGCGCAGCCCCTTTGACGCCAAGCTAATTTCTGGCGATAGAAGAATCGCAGAGCAGGGATCGAAAAATCAGAGAAGGTTGCGCAAATCCAATTTTAGGCGATTGAAATTACTATTTTGCCTCTGGTAAATTCCTTACCCAATTTTTGTCTCTTATTTTATTCAATGCTTCATTACATTTGTTTCTCTCTTATTTAAGCATGCTAGGCTAGTTGTTCTAGTCTAGATTAGGTGATGGATTGTTGATTACTGTTTGTTGTTGATGGATTAGTGTGAAACATGAGATTTTAACTTAGGGATGTTTGTGGAGATTGTTCTTATTATTGTTTGGATGTTGTTGTTGGCCGCAATGACATTTTTGACTTTCAGAATGGGTCCTAAATCAACGAGGAATCGAGATTTAGACCCCTAGTCGTGTGTCTCTATTCTCAAGTCCTACTACGGAAGTGGATGATACTTGAGGAGTTTGTTTGTCTTGTTTGTAGTTCTCTTGAGAGGAGCGTCACGGAAGTGGACTCTTATCAAGGAGACTCTTTCCCGATTTTCACATTTGCTCACATTCCCGTCGTTTTCTCATTTTCCTCTAATCCATGGCAATTGCATTGTTAGCATGAATTCTCTAACCTAGGTTTACTTTCCTTTTTCTTGCATTTCATTTTAGTTTTGTTTGTTGTATTAGTTTAGTTCATTCCACTTGCATATCATCCATCTTCTCCTATTTGGCTTTGATTCACGTTTAACAATTTGATATTAGTGTTTTGTTACACATTGTACTCGATTCTTAACCAATAACGCTATGGGGAGTTTACTTAAATAACATTAAAACATAATGACTTTCCCTAAATAGCATCATATGTGTTTTTTTTCTCAATGTAACACTTTTAGTCATTATCCATTAGTCATTATTCAAGTAAACATTTCAGTAGACATTATTCCTCCTTCTGGACATTATTAAGTACTATTTAGGGAATAAAACAGTTTAAGTGCTATTTAGGAAAATGACTTAAGTTTTAGTGCTATTTAGTGCAAATCTTTCTAACGCTATCCCCGTGGACTCGACATCCTTACTTCCACCACTTTACTCACTCATTACTTTTACCGCTTCCATTTCCGTTTCATTTCCATCATCGTTTTGAGCAAGGGTTTTTGGTGCAACAAACCAAAAACTTTCAAATCACTAATTTATTAAGGTTAATATATAAACTTGATGCCATAGCATACCCATGTAGACCATTTCTAATCTGAGCCGCTTCACAATTCAAATCCTTTAATAAAAGAAGGCTATCGTCTGCAAAAAAATGACTAATACTCCCTGCAAGTTTATCTCGCCTCCTATTCCTTAGAGAATGTAAACACTCATAGGCAACTGCACAATAGTCATGGGTCGGAAGTCAACCTTTTGAAAAAGGGTTAGTTTTCTCCAAAAAAGAGGTAAATGAATTTGGTTCTTGACAATTGTGTTCGGTGGCAACTATGCTAAACATAATGTCTCTGCAAATATCAGGTACAAGTTCACTCTTTACAGACACTAATCTACAATTAAAATCTAATTTACTTCTTCTCAGTGACCGTTCAGCGAGATCTGAATAAACTTTCAGGGATGGGCTATCCTTTTTTTTCATGAACTTTGTCCATACATTGCACGTGGGCTTTTAATACTTTTTAAAGTCTCATTTATATATATGGACTGGCTAAGTCTAATGCATACCTATATACTCCGTATTCACCTAACATTTGTTTTGTTAAGTGGAATTATATTATTCCACTAAAGAAATAATGGAACACCAAATTCTTCTAGCCTTTTACTATGGTGCTCCATGCATGCATGCATATGGGTTCTTTTAAAAAAATAAAGTGGTTCATATAATTAGAATATATATATACTACTTCGTATAAAAGTTATTACGAGTACATATTAATTAATTAATTAATAATACAGCAGCCATGAAAATCAAAGCTCATCATATCATCATAGCATCTTTAGTTTTACAAATCTTAGCCATTACTGTGGCACAGAAAGAGATTCGAAGAACTTCCGCTCCTTCTCCAGCAGCTCCTCCACCAAAGAAGACTAATAATACCTCAGGTCTATCATGAACATTTCCCTTCTCTTTATTTCAAATAAATTCCAAGTTTTGTATATGGAGTACTTCCTACCTAAATAAGAGGGACTAAAATATTAAATAGTACTACGTATATACTACTTTCATCTATGATTATTTATCTAGTTTTGATTTTTCTCAATCAAAATTGATAAACTTTAACCATTAATTAAATAAAATTGATATTATGTATTGATATTTAAATAACTTTATAAAGTTCTTTTTATAAAATATTTTCAAAATATTATTTTATCTAATTAGTACGAAGTAAAACATATACGAGTAGTTTTTAATTTATCTCATTATGTGTGAATTGAAAGGTTAAAAGTGGTTGAGTGCAAAAAGTCAAAACTCGGGCAGATATGAATATGAGTCTAGTATCAAAACATGACCAGCCATATGTTTTTATCCCCGTTAACACTGTACCATACCCCCTTTGTCATTCTATGTTGGTATTTTACAGTATTTTAAGCATTGCATATTGACACAACTTAAATTATGGCTTTCAAAAATTGGCTTTTGGTGTGATCGATGATTGTTTGAATGTTGGCTTTTGCCTTTTTCCGTTTCTTTTGGCTATATGTTCTCAAAGGCTACACCATTAGAGAAGTTCATTGAACTTTTATAGTCAGGAAATATAAGAGTGGGTGACATGATTTTTGCGTATGACATGCTGACTTTTGGAATATCACAGATTTAAATGTTTTGGCTTTTTCTTTTTCAGCCCAATGCATGTTTCATCGTGTCTTTTCCGGATCAATATGATCTTAGAATGATGTTTGGCTACGGCTCTTGATGAAGTAATGACTTTTTGTTCGAGTTTGACATTATAAATCATATTTTGCTATAGAACTATTGAAAGTCATATTTTCATGTATTTAACATGTTTTAGTCCTATTTTGATGGTTCTTCCTACTTTTATTTTACTTTTGATGACATTTTATTTGTATTAATAAAAATACTTCCTCCGTCTAAAAAAATCTCAATTGACTTTTTGGAGATCAAAATTGAAAAACTTCGACCATATAATTTAAAAAAAATATGTGGTATCAAAATAATGATGTAAATTTAATATTATCTCTATTTTACAGTATTTGTCAAGTTTTGACTTTTTGCAGGTAAAATGAATAAAATTTAACCATTAGTTAGATAAAATATAAGAAATTGGTACTAGAACAGTAATATGAGATTGATACAAAACTAATAATAATAGGTTTGTATTATAAAATATTTTCAAAATATTTTTGGTCCAATTATTTAATATATCATGCATTTTTTAGTCTAATTATGGGTAAAAGGTCGATCTTCATCAGCTGCCAAAGATCAAAACCGATTTAATAGCCAACGAATGGGTTAGTATTTGATTTGTCTTTATATGTGTTTTTGAAATATCTTTTCTAATAGAATTTACTAGTGTATGAATATAAATAGTATTGATCTAAGTGGCATGCCATGAAAAATCAAATGAGAGTCTTATTTTAGAACTTATACGGTATTAAATTAAGGAGCTGAACTACTCCCCTGGCTTGAGTGGTTGCAAGCCCACTCCCCAGGTGTCATGGGGAAGTTCACCCAAGTTCGAGCCACAGCATAAGCAGAAGCATTGGCTCTTTGTGCATCATTAGATTGAGATTAGTTTTCAAAAAAGTTAACGAGCTAATGTGGGATGGGTGGGATGCATGGTAGTCAAACTCTAGATTCTACGTAGGATCGATAAGCATAATGAAGATTGTAACATCGTAAGATCGTGACTCGGATATTGTGTGTGTGTGTGTCCTCATGATATTCATTCTTGAAATTTATATTGCAGGCAATTACACTACCCTTGTCATAACAATTCCACTTTTCGGGGGCATCGCCCTGATGATAGTGATAGCGGTGATACTATTCAAAAGAAAACACATCAGCAGCCATGGATTGATCCTTGGGTTTTGGATGCTGATGTGGTTTGGAAGCGTGGTTCTAAACACGTGGGACATTCCGCGTGTTTCCAAAACCCTAGTCTCCTTCCACGTTGTGGTCAACGTGTTAGGGCTAGTGTACTGGGTCCACTTAGGACTTTTAGAGTACAACCGGAAGAACGCGTGGCCCTCTGCCAACTTCATGTTTGAGATCGCAGCCTGGTTTTCCATGTTCGCGTTGAGCTGTGTTGAAGTCTTTGTGCTGACCTTAGCTGGGGAACGCCAATATCGGAGGTTGTCCCATTGGTACCCGGTGGCAATAGCTTTCATTTCAATGGTGGAGAACTACTGGACAAAGGGCAGGGAGATCAGAGAAGACCGGATGAAATCGCAGCTGATCAAGAACTTGGAGGCAGCATTTAAGGAAGTCATCAGGCTTTGCATGGAGGACCCTAAGAAGGTTGACATTGTTGAGTTTGAGGAGAAGGTGGAGGAGTTCTACATGCTGTTGGACATGTTGGTGGCTCAGTATCGGGAGGCGGTCGCGGTTGCTCAGCAGAGGGAGGCTCTCCAGAAGAAGAAGGCGCAACATGGGTATGCCGCCACTGCAACAGTAGTTCAAGTGGTGGATGCGTATGAAGATGGGGTAAATGTGACCTGCGAGGCTCGTGCCCATGCAGATTGCGAGATACAAATCGAAGCAGATGGAGGGCACGACTCGTGACGATGTCGATACAGTTTGCTGTGAGATTCAAATGGAGTAATTTTTTTTAAAAAAGCCATCCTAATTGTCAATGATCATCGTCTCCTTCTCATTATTGGTTTTTAATTGCATTGGGGGATGATATGATGATCATTAAAAACAAAAACAAAAAAAGACTGCAGATTTAGAACGCCGAAGCTCAGCTGCGTAAAAGAACCGGCGAGGAGCCATATACAGACAAATCAGCAGTCCTATTGATCCGATTCAATAGGAGCATTCCAAAATTTGTACCTCATTTGTACACCAAAGGTATGCGCCAACATTTTGATGGTTCACACTGACACAAAATGTTGGTGTATTAAGAAAAATTAGCATTACACCAACACAAAATGTTGGTGCATCCATGCGGTGTTCAAAATGAGGTGCAAAGCTTTGGAAATCCGATTTAATATTATTATTTTACCCGTTCATACTTTTCTGATACTTATGTGGCCCACATGTGGAGCAACTACTACATTTAATCAAAGAGTTGCTTAGGAAGTAACCGTACTTTCGATATGAACTCCTTCTAAGCAACCCAACTATAGATGCTCTTATGTTTGATTGCATAAATTAAAACAAACAAATATTTAGTTATTTAATATTTTTCTGTTCGAAATCGAATTTCGCATTAAAGTTTATGAAGATTGATCGATTCTTTTTATTTCAGTTCAGTGTATTCAAAATTTGAGTGTATAGATATAAAAAGTTTAAATTAAAAGTAAACTATGTACTCCATATTTTAAATAAAACTACATACTCCCTCCGTCCCAGAAAGAGAGGGACAGATTGACTAAATTGTTAAAATAATGGAGAGATAATTTTGTGTTGACTTTCCAAAAATACCCTTGATGTGATGGTTAGAAGTAGAATGTGATGTGTAGATTATTAGTAAAAAGATATAATGTGAGAGGTAAAATATGAAAAAGAAAAGGGTAAAAGTGGTTTTTTAATAAAAATATGAAGGAGATTGTGAGACACCATTTTTTTGAAACGTGAAGGAGTTTTTGGAAAGGAGGGAGTATAAGGCTTTTATATATACTCCAATTTTATTTATTAAAACAAAAAATAAAATGTACCCCAATCTATATCTAAAATAGAATTAAAAATGTATTTAAAAACTATATGTAAAACTTTTCAAAACAAGAAGTGACGGATTTTATATTGTGATAAACATATAAGAATGGAAACCGCTCGTGAATCCAGGCCAAGAGTGTACTGGCCCGAGGATATTTTAGTTTTTCCATTTTAAAATTGAAACTCGAACTAGACCATGCATGTCCGCGTTGGACATATTTGCCTCACGGCTTAGTGCTTGTTTGGGAATAGCGTTAGAAATTAGCGTTATCGTTTTAGATAAAATTTCAACGGTGCAGATTACTTTGAAAACGCTAACTCTATACGCTGCCCATGATAGCTTTTTCAAAATGCAAATGCTAATCTCTAAAGAATATTAAGAGTATTAAAGATAACATTTCCTTATTTTATTGTTACCAATGTTATTCTACTATGGTTATGATTCACTCTCTTACTCCAATATGAAGAATGAAAACCTCTACTATTTAATAATACCAATTATTATACAATTATATCATGATATCAGAGCTAAAACATCTCTCCAATGAACCTAGCTCTTTTCTTTTGACTGTGCGCCACCGCCGGTCTTCATCATTGACGGTCGACCGCCATAGATTACCTCTCGTTGTCCCTCTCTTTCTTTACAAAAAACATGAGTGTGCATAACAAACGCTGTCCCTTGTCCCTCTCTCACTATAAAAAAAGTTGTGCGTGTGATTGAAGAACTCGAAGACTGCATTTGTTATTTTGTTCGTGTTTCTTCTAGAATTTGAGAGCATGAAAAGCGAGAGAGAAGTAAAGAATGACCCACAAGAAGGAAAATAAAATCTCCTCGCCTTGCTCTAATCGTCAACACTCTCCTTAGAAAAAACTCATCTAGAAAATATACTCTCAACTTTGTTCATCATGCAACGAAGATCATCCAATCTACTTCTAGCCGCTATCCTCATAAAACCGCTTCTGGCGGCTCCATTCTAGTGCATATACGTATGCTCCAAGCTTCTCTTCTTTATGGATGATCAACTTGCTCCAAGATACTCCTTCCGCCCCAATTTAAATTGTACTCCCTCCGTTCTAAAAAAGAGTTTCTATTTTGACCAAGTGTAAAATTAAGGAAGTGCTAAATTGTATTTGACTTCCAATTTTGTCCTTGATGTGATGAGTAAAAGTAAGATGTGATGAATAGATTGTTAGAGAAAAAAGTAAGATGTGATAGATAGGGTATGAAAAAGTAAGGTAAAAATTGTTTGTATAATAGAAAGTGGAAGTGTTTTGTTGGAAGTGAAAAAAATGAAAGAGGAAGTGTTTTTGAGAACGGAGGGAGTATGTTGTTTATGAAGTTTGATTGAAGTTATTTTCAACTCAATTTATTTTACAATTAGTATGAAATTAAAAAATAAAATTTGACCAAGCTACAATATTACTTTCTCAAAAGGGTAGAAAAAATGGGTAAAAATGTGGGTAAAGTTTGACCTGTGAATAGTAAACAAAATCATTTAAATTGGGACGGAAAAAGTATTACTCCGTATTATTTATTTCTTTTCTTAATCTATTATTGCTTATATAATTGTTATTATATTCTTCCATTTTTGAGATTTTTTCATGACTCTATATATTCATTATTCAATATTGAATAATAAGACATATTATTATCAAATTATATCGGACATATATCTTGACAATATGAAAACTCTGAAGAAAATTAAAAGTTTTCTTTTTGTTATAATAAGGCCCAAAAATTGAATAAACCAGGGAAATATATGTGTAGATCAAAAGATTCCAATTACACAAAGGCCGAAATATTAATTTAAGTGGATATACTCCACAATAGTAAAAACGTTGAGTTATTGTAAAATAATAAAGAAAAATCATGATCAACAAGATCCTACAAGTGGTGTTGATGACTTGATGATGATGATGGTGGTGGTGATGATGATGGTGATGATGATGATGATGATGGAGGGTGGAGGTAGCTAACAAGGTATGTTTTGAGTGAAGCATGTTAAGACTTTGAAGGGAAGCTTGATCATGCATTCCCAAGCAAACTTCTCAGTCTTCTTTAGGGTGGTGCTCCCACAACGCCCGCCGCAACAGCAGCAGCACTTCAACATTTTGCTGATCCGTGAAATTAATTAAAGATGCCAATTAAGAGCTTGTTTAGAACAAAAGCGTTACAGATTAGCGTCAGCGTTTTAGATTATAAAATTTTAACGGCAGAGATCACTTTGAAAACACTACCGCTTAACACTGTGTGTAGATAGTTTTTTCAAAACGCTAACGCAAATCTCTAACGCTATTTCCAAACAGGTTACGTTCTAATAAGTGTGTGTGTATATATATAGACACACACACATATATATATTTTATATTTATACCCCGGAGTATATATACATGTGTGTGTATGTGTGTATATGTATATATATATATGTATGAAGTTTTGGGTATTAATTAAAATGATAATAATAAATAAAGATGGTAGCTTACATAAGGATCCATAAGAGGAGGCCTAGTGGGGAGATGACGAGAGCGGCGCATACGAAAGGAATGCTAAAGATAATGGCCAAAGGGTGACACTTGCAACCATTTCCGCCGCCGTCACTCATGTCTGATCTCCGCTCTCTCCGCCCGCCCCGCGCTTTAATTTCTTCGCCGTTAATTAATTCCTGGAAAACATCTTAAGGAGTACTCAATTAGCTCCGCAAGAATTTGATTTGTCGGTTTAATAAAAGGTCAAAAAAGAGACTTTCAATGGCTAATTTACCAAAAATTAAAGTAGTTTTTTCTTTTTGACAAAATTTAATGCATGCAATGATTTCATGGGCATTCATCCTTATCAATGACTTACTCCGTCTCAAAGACTATCCTTTCTTTTTTTACATTCCACAAAATCCATCTTATTTTTATTAAAAAATTAATTTTATTCCTCCCAATTTTTTGACTTAACTATTACAACATATCTTTTTACTACTCCATCCGTCCCACGAAAAAGTTCTCCTTTTGAATACAAGTAGTATTTAGTCAAATACTTACACGCTTTGACTACAAATTGTGAGAAAGGTATATTTGTTAGTTCCATGGTGTTGGCTAATCTTTTGCCAAAATAGAATCTCATATTTGTTAGGAGATGTTTATTTTATTTAGACTTCTAGAGTTGCTGCAGATTTCGAGGTTGACACCGAAGATGCTATAACACGTTGCTGCAACACACTGTTCAGGATCAGAGGTCTGAGCACGAGATTTAAAACTGCAATCTGAATTAGAGACCTATTGGGATTGTGATTACATGATAATAACTCTAGCTGTACATGCTAAGGAATCCCAACTCTTTAGGCTACTTGTGGATCAAGATTAAGGAAGTTGAGTTCAAGCCAACTTCTACTATCATATTCCTACTAGAATTGTGTTAAGAGGAGCCTATAAAAACGCAGCAGGTCCCTGGGAATTACTTGGAGCGATTGAGAGGGAAAACAAAGAATATACGCTGGTTTAGAGCGTTCTCGTCGCGTCCCAGAGCTTCCCATGCGTAAAGAAGGTTACGATCTACATGATGGAGGAGATCTTCAACGCCAAACAGATCGTGATGTCCAGGAGATGAATTAGAGCTGAACAAGTGGGCTGCCAACACGTTTGTCCTCGTGATTTCGGTGGAGATGTGATAGCCAAAGCGGATCTGAACAGAGTTCGGGTTAGAAATCCTAGATTAGAAGTTTTGTCATAATAACAATTCGGAGAAGTGTGTCTCATCATGTTGTTATGTACCAGTGTAACTTGCATCTAATTATTTAGTGGAGGGCTATTACACGGACGTGGGCCCCGCAGATTAGGAGAATTTGCTCCGAACTGTGAAAACATATCTGGTGTCATTTTTTACGCATTATATAGTTACAGCATTCTGTCCAGTAGACGCTGTAACGCTCTCTGCATCATCTGCTTCTGTGTGCGTGCTTGTGACAGAGAAGTGTTATAGCACACTGTCCGTCATCTGTTACTGTGACAGTGATGCAGCGTCTTCTCTGTAGCATAGTTCGATGATTTGTTTGCATAGCTCTTAATTGGTGATTTCCGCTGCGCCCCCACGAACTTACAATATTGAATTATAAAATAAATTTAATATAATTGGATTCATCTTAGGATCTAGTTTTGATATTTCAAATTTTTTTATCATTTCTTTATTTAGATTATATTTAATTTATGGTCAAAGCGTGTAACTGTTTGACCAAAAATACATCAAAATGAGAACTTTTTTGTGGGACGAAGGGAGTAATAATTTATACATTACATTCTATTTTTATCATCACATCAAGGGTATGTTTAAAAAGTTAACACAAAAATATTAGTAAAAAGGAAACATTTTTTTGAGATGGAAGAAGTATATTGTATAAAAAAATAACGTGATCAAATATTGTGATCCGTAAGATCACAAGCAACTACGGAAAGAAGGTTAAACAAAAACAAACACACGCCATTAATTTCTAAACAATAATTTTTGTCAATAAGTCAATGAAAAATGCGAAATCTACCCCTGTTTTTAAGAGTAATTTTACCAATTTTAAATGCTAAAAGTAAAAAATTGACAAAAACCCTGAGATGAAATTAGTATATGTGTTACTACGGGTGTAAACGAATCGAATCGAAGCGAATATCAAGATATTTGAATTTGTATTTGTTTAATTTTTTCGAATACAAATCCGAATCTGTATATGAGACGAATTAAAAATAAGATTTGAATTTGTATTTGATTAATATTCGAATACTTAACGAATCCTAAACGAATATTTTAATAATTATACTCCATTATTTATATGATGGACTAACATAGATTTTAAATAATGTAACTTACGATACTTCTTATATTATATCTACAAACATTGATACATTTTTATCTTACACAAATTATATTTTATAAAATATAACTAAAAATCAAATGTTTTTGATTTCCGTGATACGTTAATTTGTTGAACTCTAGCTTAGTAATTTAAATACATTTTATACTATATTAGTTTACTTGACTAATGATGTTGAAACATGGTTTGTGGGTATACATATATTCGAATATTCGAATATCACCCGAATCGAATATACTCCTATTTGTATTTGTATTTGTTTAATATTCGAATCAAAATTAATATTTGAATTTGAATTTGTATTTGAATAATGCGAATTCGAATCATTATATTCGAATATAAATCACGAATCGAATTAAAAGTATTTGATTTGTTTACATCCCTATGTGTCACCCATGACCAGAACTAAGTTGGTTCTGGAAGGGACATATTTGCAACATGAAGCAAAGATTGATTTCTCGCCGCGTGTAATGTGGGAGTGATATTCTAAGACCATTTTGGTTATAATAATGGTCTCCTTACATGTCAATGGACCGACCTCGCCCTTTAATGAGCTGATGCGTCCCTGATTTACCATCCTCCTCGGATCAAGGTGTTGGGCCCTTGGGGTCGTATATTCAACTTTTTTGCAACATTTCCTTGTCTTTTTTCTTCTTCTACAAATTTATGAAGAAAATTTATCTAAATAGTATTAAAATATAATGACTTTTTTAAAATAGTATCATATGTTTTTATTTCACAATTTAGCACTCTTAGTTATTATTCATTAGTTATTATTCAAGTAAATGTTAACATCACTGCATATTATTCTTCCTTCTAGACATTATTAAGTGTTATATTTAGAGAATAAAAAAGCTTAAGTCATAAACTGGAAAATGGCTTATATTTTAGTATTCCCTCCGTCCCATAAACATATATAGAGACAGTTTGACTAATGTGGTAAAATAAGAAAGAATATTTTTATGTTGACTTTTCAAAAATATCCTTGATGTGATGTGTATATAATTAGGAAAAATGTATGATGTGATAGGTAAGGTATGAAAAAGTAAGAGGTAAAAGTAATTTTTTAATAGAAATGAGAATGACTTTTAGGGACACGATTTTTTTGAAACGTGAAACAATTTATGAGACGGAGGGAGTAAGGAGTACTATTTAGTGGAAATATTTCATTTATGAATAGTCAATACTTCCTCTACGGTAAGTTATTATATTGCAGCCTTGATTTTACGTAGCATTTCTTTTTCTCCTTATTAGTTTAAGTTTTTATTTCTACTGTTCCTTACTCACTAGTGATATTTTTTTATGGTATTCGCTTTTCGCATTCGTTTATTTTGGCTTTATGCAATTTCTTACTCCCTATTCCATTATATTTTTAAATTTGTAAAGTTTTAAAGTTGTGAAAATAATAATACCCTGTATATTTTAAGAATACTCTGGATTTTCGGGATCTTTTCTGGTTTTTTAGAGTGAATGATTCAAAAGAAAGAAAAAAATATTGTCAATTAAAGAAAACCAATTATTTATTTCTGTCCAAATACATACTACTTCTCTCCTGATAAACACGGAGATAATGGTAATTAATTATATATACAAAATGGTACATACTATATGCATGATCACGCTTTACATACATAATAATATTTGAAAAAGAGAAAGATGAGTCTCATCCCCGAGGGTCCCTTCAGACACTGCCAGACGATCAACGAGAGGACGTAAACTGGATTCTTGAATAACGTAACAGCAGAAGATGTGTTCTTTGAATAAATTAATTACTAGTATTTGTCCAGTTTAATTTTTTCTAGTCAAATGTTTAACGTGAATGACTATAAAAAATTAAAATTGAACAAATATTAGAGACGAGAATAGTAATTAATTAAAAATAATACGGAGTAGATGTTAAAAGTGATGATAAGGGTCGGGACCGCCGGGGCAAAGACGCTCCTCCGGCCAAACATCATTATTATTATTATTATTATTATTATTATTATTATTATTATTATTATTATTATTATTATTATTATTATTTGTGCCGATGCGATTATTATTCTCTGACCTTTTCAGAAATTGAGCCTCTAAAGCTTCCCTCGCCGCCCTAATCGGGCGCAGAGCTTCCATTGTTGGAGAAGAAGATGAAAGCAAGATGAGGCATATCAATATTAACTTCAACCACCCCATTAATATAATTACTATACCTTAACTTAATTAATTATATATCCTCGACCTTGGTTTTAGCTTTAGCGGGTACCATATATATAGAGCAATTATTAGATGTATTGAAGAGCTTATTTAGTTTATGTAGTACTATACATGCATTCGTGTTAGTGCATGCAATTATTTGTCTAAATTTTGCATATATATATGGTCCCAAAAAGAAAATTTCTTTTCTTCTTTAAGGTGCCCCAAAAAGAGCTCTTCTTCTCTATGCATCGATACTTTTAAATACATAATTTTATTTTTCTTAAATTTTACTATGTACGTATTTTAGATGCTCACCTTGTTACGGCCTATGTTGCATGAGCTAGAAGTCTTTTGGAAACATCTTTCTATTTTTTAGTAGGAGTAAGTTCTGCATTCGCACACACTCTTGAGACCCTTCTCTAAAACTTCCTTCGTCTTAAAATATTCTTCCAGTTTTGGTTTACGATGTTTGGTGAATGTTATTTTCAATTTAATTTATTTGATTATAGGTCTAAAAATAAATACTCCCTCCGTCCCACAAAATCCTTTCCTTTTCTTTTTTCATCCGTCCCAAAAAACACTTCTGTTTTTCTATTAAAAAGTCACTTTTACCTCTAATAATTCTTAACCTACCTATCACATCACTCTTTTCTCTATTAATCTACCCATCCCATCTTACTTTATCCATCACATCAAATGGTATTTTTGAAAAGTCAACACCAAAATACACTCCCCTTAAATCATTTAAAAGTCAAAATGGGAAGTATTTTAAGGAACAGAGGGAGTAATAAAAATTATATATTTAAAAACTACTATTTTTGTCCGGAAATGTTCTTCTCATTTAACTTTTCACGGACGGATGTAAAAAACATTTCCGAACGGATGGAGTACATCAAAAGCTCTACAAAATAAGATGTGACATGACTATATTATACTCCGTATATTTTATTAAATGACTAACGAAAATAAATTAAAAAAGTAATTAAAGTTTGATCTTATGAATGGTAACAAGAAAGAAAGTAAAATTTTAGGAGAGGGAATAGAATTTAACTAGGTTGTTGTTTGTGAGCGTTTCTCTGTGCTGATAAGTAATCTATAACTCATAAAATATTTATTGATGTATTTTGGTAAATTAAAATGGATTTGGGGAAAGTCTTAGGGGGGTGTATTGAATTTGGAGTTTGTAGGATTTTTTTAGATTTTTAAAATTTGAGTTTATTCAATCTGGATTTTTAGAAGTCTTTAGAAATCTTAAGGTATTCAATAGAGATTTTCTAAAGTCTTTAAAAATATTGAAGTATTCAACTTGGATTTTTAAGAGTCTTTAAAAATTTGTAGGTATTCAAAAGTCAATGAATTTTAATACTCTATGAATTTTGTTGGAATTCCTTTAAAAAAATGCTTAAGATTTCACTCCTAGAAATCTCTCCTTCCAACCTTAGATTTCAATGGATTTGGATCCGTGAGTAGTAAATTTTGTTACTGTGTAGGCCAAGTGACGAACAAATTCTAAAAACTAGAGATGAAGATAAAATCCAAACATTCTGCCCTAATTTGACGATCCAATTTGCCGCCTGCTATGGCCGAATCGGAAAAAAGGCAGAGGATGGAGAGAAGAAGAAAGGCCGAGGATGAAGAAGATCCAATTTGACGCCTCCTCCGCCTGCTCTGGCCGAATCGGAAAAAAGGCAGAGGATGGAGAGAAGAAGAAAGGCCGAGGATGAAAAAGGAAGATCCAATTTGACGCCTCCTCCGCCTGCTCTGGCCAAATCGGAAAAAGGGAGAAGAAAGGCCGTCAGTTTCATATATTTTTCAAACTCTACAAAGATTTTACAAATTTTTCAAACTCAACATGGACTCTACAAAAAATCAACCAAACTCTACATGGATTCTATAAATTTTACAAATCTACTAACTTTTTGAAATCTAAAAAAATCCAATAAAATCCTAATTGAATACACCCCCCTTAAAATGTTAGGAGTAGTTTTATAAATGATTTGGTCAAAAAAAGAAGAAACGAAAAATTAGCTAAAAAATAAGTAGGTATAGTAAGACCAATATTTTGTTTTACTTATAAGCAGCTTAAACTCGGTATAAATTAGTTTATAAATATATAGAAACATGATAACAATTGATTTATAAATTAAAACAAGAAAAATTTGCACTAAATAAGACTAAAGCATAAGTTATTTCTCAATGTAGGACTTAAACTTTTTATTTTCCAAATAGTACTTAATAATATCTAGTGGGAGGAATAATTTCTAGTGATGATGGACATTACTTGAATAATGACTAATGGATATTGATCAATGGTCGTACATTAGGAAATAAAAACATATAGTCTTATATTGAAAAAAATTCTTATGTTTTAGTCTTATTTAGATAAATTACTTTTAAAACAACTTTTTAATATGCAGTTTTGATAACTTTTAAAAGTATATAGAGAAATACCACTTTGTACCAAATTCAAATCAAAGTTTGTTGGGGATGGGGAGTATAAGATAAGAAGAGGACAATAATGATGCATGGAACACAAAGAAGCTTTGATGTCTTTTCATGGGCGGTCCAATAATATACTCCATTAAAGCTAGACTTCATTTTTTTTTCTGTTAAATCCAAACACATGTAAATTTAACCAAAAGGTTCACCAGTTTTGGAGGCTCTCATCATAGCTTTGTTTGAAGTCCTCATTTTTCTGTTATTTCATCAAAGCATAAGTGAGTCATGACACTAAACTCAATGATGTAAAATAAATGGAGCAATACTAAATTAAATTAGGTGTTTTCTTATTTTCACGTCACTAACACTATATTTGATTCAATGAATTTGGAAGGAAAAGAAAAAAAAATAGAATCCCTCATTTTCTTTACTAAAATAGAAAAAATTTGGTTTTCTCTCCTTATATATTTTGACTTATTATTTTCTTTTTCTTTCACTTATCTTTTCTTTTCCTCTCTAACCAAACAAGAAAAATGTTTTCCTTCTTATTTTCTTTTTCTTTCCTTCTCAAATTCCTTGATCCAAACATAGTGTTGGAACAAATTTATGAGACAAAGCAAATAATAAGTGATAGAGGAAATACCATATAGTAATAATTAACAAAAAGAACAAGACTAAATCAAATTAAGCACAAGTAACAGCAAGATCAGTTTTGAACCTGGCACTTTTAACTGTAGAGCTTTTCTTAAAGAAGAAAAGTCAAGAGAGGCCTAGCTTGCTCACATCCATGATTAGAGGATCTAGCCTCCTAACTACATTTGCTATATTATTGGAACCAAAGTGCTAAAAAAACAGAGAATTATTTTTTTTAAAAGTGTGGTGGACAATGTGATGTTTGTCCTTGATGTTTTCTGCGACATTCATAACAAAACTACAGATTTGGCATAAAGACAAGGAAAAGAAAAGTCTGGTTTTCTTTCAACCACCAATTGGTTCGTGTTCTCCATGTTACTATGACTCAGAAAAATGGCTAGCTTTTTCTACCTTTTCCAAAGTCACGTTCTTATGCTAGACCATTTTGTTCCTTCCTGATAATGGGGGCGTGACAAAGCATTAAAATCCCGTGGGAGCAGTGGAAATCACGAATAAAAATAATCTACGCAAACAGATCAAACAAACAGACTGCTAGAAAAGATGTTCTAGTAGTGTAACAGAAACAGATGACAGACAGTGTGCTATAACATCTTCTCTGTCACATGCACACACACATGCAGAATAAAGTAAAAGGCAGTAAACACTACACACGAATGTGTTTACGCCTTTCGGAGCAAACTCTCCTATTCTATAGGGCCTACGTCAGTGTAACAACCCTCCAGTAAACCAATTCAACGTAATAGGTTACACTAATCACAAACAATAGAACGCCTCTTCTTTATGTTTATGACAAAATCTAGCTTACGTATGACTTCTAACTCAGACCTTGTTTCAATCCTCTTCAATGGCGTGTTACAGCTTCTTCGAAACCATCTCCAAGGATGTGCTCGCAATCCTTCTACAGATCAACAAGATATTGAACTTCTGGACAAGAGGACAAGGCTTTTGTGATGAAACTGATCTTCAAAACATCATGCAAAGATATGAACGAACGGCGTGATCTTTTATATGATGAACTCTCTCAACGTAACCTCTTGGATTTGCTCTCGTGTATGCGGCTCATCAAACTATATATCAAAACCGGGCTGGACTCCTAACATACATGCACTCCACCGTTTGGAGTACCTTCGAGCTTCCTCAATGAAACGATGTGGGTTGAATGAATATGTGTATAAGCAGCTAAAATTGCGAGTAATTATCTCAATCTATAGGCTTCACATAGGAAAATGGGGTCGAATTCAAGTTTTTAAGATTAATACCCATCTTCAAGTATGAAAATTTGAATACGAGATGGAAATTAAGGCTTCCTTTATGAAGTTATTAATTATAATACATTATAGGAAAACTTCTATATTTTACTTTTGGTACAATTAAGAGGTGTGTGTTTTTTTGTGTGTAGAAATCACCCTAAATAAGCCTAAAACATAGAGAAAAATACCAAAATAGGACTTTCATGTTTTTTTTCTTGAAATAGGACTTTGCATTGTGGTAATATGGCACTGAACATGTGCACATTACTATATTTTTTTGGTAATGTACATGACCATGTTTGGTAATGTAAGTCCTATTTCGGGAATAGAAACATGAAAGTCCTATTTTGGTATATTTTCAATGTTTGGTCCTACTTTGGTCTTTCTCTCTTTTTTGAGTTGATTTTCTTGAAATACAATTGGATGAAGAGTTGTTCTTCCATAGTCTTTAAGGTCTACATGTAAAATATGAACATTCTCACACTTTTAATAGGCTGACAAGGGAATTTTTTTTTTTAAGACTCAATTATTTTATGACATCAATGCACTATGGTCCATAAATGAACATGAACTTTAAGACCACATAAAAATTTACCTTGGATGCTGTTAGAATATAAATAACTGTTCCTGGACCACAACTACAAGCTTGAGCTTTTGGTTGAGTTGGTTCCTTGACATGGTATCAGAGCCTCGTTGATTAAGAGGTCACGAGTTCGGAACTCAGCGCCACCCAGTTTAAAAAAATTAACGTTTCACGTGCAAGACTCGAAAAAGACTACGCCTGCACGTGAGGGGGCGTGTTAGAATATAAATAACTGTTCCTGGGCTACAACCACAAGCTTGAGCTTTTGGTTGAGTTGGTTCCTTGACAGATGCAATGAATAAATTAATAATGAATAAATATAATGTGATAGGTAAGATAAGAATTAATAGAGACAATGAAAAGTGAAATTTCTTTGGAGACAAGAATTCTAAGTGAAAAAATTTTGTGGGACGGAGCGACTCACAAAGGGAGTATATGTACTACTCCATAGTTCTAAGATGATAATGGAAAGTTATCAAATAAGAATGTCTTTTAATAGATCTGACTCTTCATCATCTAAATGCATTACACTTATTTAACACTCGTTTTTATTTAATATTTTTAATGTCAATGGGTTTAATGTATTTCGTACTCCGTACATATGATCATTCACACAATATCAATCTAAAGTGACCCGAAAGTCAACAAAATTTGGTGCAATGAAATTGGCGGGGGTGCGTTGGGGACAGGGGCGGGCTAGGGGTTTACCGGGGGGGAGAGGTTAGGGGAGGTAAGAACAATCAATTTTACGATCGAAGCACCGTAGGTATTCCAATTGATTTGGTGTAACGCTGTTACACCAATTGGGTAAAACCTTATAGTGTAAATATAGTGAGCAAGCTCTGACCATTAGAATTGGATGAAACTTCAAAGCCATTTCACAATGTAGCAATTTAGTTCATGTACATCTACCATTCTACCTCTAATATTTCATACCAAGACGAGAGAATAGAGCCATTACAGTGTTGTTCCATTATAAAAGGTCACAAGTTTGTCCTTCCTCAGCCCATAAGACTGATAACATAACCCAGAAGAGACGTGAAGTACTGCCAACTACCTAAGCATATGAAAGGGAGACCGGGAGAGAGAATAATACCAATAACTTTAAGATGATGTTTGGATCTCTCGCTTCATCAACCCAGCAGCAAATCTTTTCACCACGCGTAGGTTCTACGAAGTGAAGGACTTGCCAACTTATTGGGGACTATAAGTTATGTAAAAATAAAGTAAAAACAAAAGCATGAAGCAAACAATGGCAGAAAGAAGGATATCTTTTCTTCATGAATGGGATGGTTGAGCATCAGCAGCTTATTATTATTCACAATACACCGGACCAACAGTTCCTTCGCTTCCTCGTGCTTCTTTCTTAGCATGTTGCATATCTGCAAAGAAACGATACAATAAGAAGGGAAAAAGAGAAAAAAAAACCTCTATAATAATTCTCAGCTGTAGGGATCAAGGATGTCTTAACAAAGCAGTTAATGAATATCATAGTATTATTTACATCTTCAAGCTCCTTTGTATATGCCTCAGCCTTGTCTACATTCTCATCATCTTCCAATGTTTGAAGGGCTCCTAATTCTTTTTTGTTTACACCCTGAGAAATATCAAATACAGAAGCCTGGGAAGCGTTGCATTCAACCCTCTTGATACTGGTGGCTTGGACCTCACTCCGATTGTCCTACATATTAGGAGAAACAAAATGGTTGGGATAACCATATGGACAGTCCTAATAAATTTGTCTGCATGACTTAGAAAAATGGTCTCAAGAATCTTAACATAATAATCCTTCGCGAATCACCTGTGTGGTAACAATTCTTTCTGGAATTGCAGAAAGCTCTCTGTTTCCATTTGGTGATTCTGAGGGCCGTTTAAATGGACTGGCAGTTGACGTTTCAGCAGTTGTCTGCAAAACACAAGACGGTGTTGTAGAACCAAGCAAGATTAAAATTTTCATGATGGAGAACTGGGAGTCATTCTTGACATTAACAAACCTCGGGTGTTTTCCGTTTAAGAGGTGTGGTGTTTGGCTTTTGTGTTGTTGGGGTGATAGAATCTGTAACCTTAGCTTGTGCGATGACTTTTAAACCAGTATTCTGATCAGGGTTCCTTGAGGTTTTACCATCTTTGAGCAACAATGATTGAGATACAGAAAGACTTGCTCCCAAATTTCTGTATGTGCAACATGAAAGAATAGCAGTCAGAGATTAAACCGGTCAATACAAGACTTCTGTAGAAGTATTAATGCAAGTCAGCTATACAATGTAATACTTGGAATGTTTTGGGCTAGATAATCCCAGTATCTGAGTGCCACCCTTGATCAGGCAGATTTTGTTGCTATCAGCCAGAGTGTTCTTGGATGTTGAAGATAGAACAGAACTTTCTAGAACTCTTGGATTTCTGCTGTTTTGTAGCATGGACTTGCTCTGCTGGCTCAAACTCAAAGGTTTGACATGTAGACTGAAGAGAAATAATTCCACAATTAATATTAGAAAAAAATATGTAACTATAAAAAACAATATTACGCATTTACTAGTACTACAACAACAACCCAGTTGAATCCCACGATAGTAGGGTCTGGGAGGGTGTGTGTACGAAAACCTTTCCCCTACTCGAAAGTAGGGGGATGTTTCCAAGGGCGTCTGTACGCATTTACTAGTAGTAAGCATGGTAAATTATAGGCAGAGTTTGTACATAGATGAATATGCATAATTAGAGGAAAACATGCACAATGTGAGAAGCTTTAGCACTGAAGTTCACACAAATGACCAAGGAAATCCTGATACAAATTATCAGCGTTTGACTCACAAAATGATGAGTAATGAAAAGGGTGTCAAAAGGATCCAGAGCTTAGAATCAGCAACTGTTATGTGTGGCAGTGAGTTTATGAAGATCTCGTTTGAAAAAAAAGGTTTTCTTTTTTCAACAAGGGAAGTTTCCAAGAAAGTCAATCAAGCACTTGTCTTAAATAAAAGTGAAGTTTAAACTGAATTACTAGTATATGAGAAACGCTTGGCACACACAAACTTACGTTTTAGCAGAAAGACCTTTAGAGCTTTCTTGACATCCTGTCTGAGGAGTGCTAATTTTAGGTAATGGTTTAGATCCTGGCAATGTGATACCAGCTATCGTCCCATTTTCTTCATCTTGACCAATGTGCACCCTGTGAAGAATATTTTAGTAAGACAAACTATTATCCGTTATAAATTTAAAATAATGATCATATTTCTCTTACATTCCGTCAACTGATTGATTTGGTTGGCTTGTGCCAATTCTTTTGTTAGCAACATCCAAAAATTTTGTCTGTATCAGTGACATCTGTTTTTGAGCAGCAATCTCAATTGATGGCTTGAAAAACTTTGACTGGATGGCACTACATTCCCCTTTCCCTTTCACCAAATTGTGAACGGCAGATCCACTGCACGACCATGTTTAGCAATGAGCCAATGATGTTTCAAAAATGACTCATATATCGGGATTTGTTCAATTGCTGGACTAGGGAACAAAAGGTCCTTAAGCAGTAAGCACTTAAAAGTCTGTTTTTATCACATGAAGACAATAACATCAATGCATTTGTAGTTCTGTATACTTTGATGATTTCCAATAATCAGAAAAGCCAGTAAAGTAGTTCTCTACCTGCTTGATAAGGATTTAAGTGTTCGCGAAATAGGTTCTTCTATCTGTTCAGTAAGTTTTGTGAAATGGTCATTCTTCTTGGCACTTGCAATATTAGTGTGTTCAGAGTGTGTACTGTTGCCCTCTATAGTGCTAACTGAAAGATCTTTGTCACTCTCAAATTTGCCACCCTCCTGATCAGTTTCCTGTGAGGCGTGGTTGTGATGTCCAGGAACTCCTTCATGCATTGCTTTCTCGCCATTTGAGTCCAGATCAACTATATTTTCAAGATCGTTCTCTACATCTGAAGAACTGGTTTTTGTTTCCATGGAACCAACATCTCCCAGCAAGGAAGAGTGTGCATTGTTGCTTGACTCATGCCCAGAAGAATGGTGAGAATCTTCTATAGCTTCCTGAGCAACTGGTTCTGGAGAGATTCCCTTCTCAAGTTGGAATACAGTTTTGGGCGTGTTTGTGGATGTTCTTGTATGAAGTAATTCAGATTCATGAGTAACGGTGGTGGAAGATATTGACGCATCATGGCTATTTCCAGAACACTCCAAAGAAAAATTCTTGCCTATAGTATCAGGAGTTAGGCCACTGTCAACCAAAGAAACAGCTCTTGAGGTTACTGGCTTCTCAGGTACATAGTGCTTTTGGGGCGAACCAGCAACCAGTGCATCACCATCTTCAGTTATGAGTCCGGAGCCTGGTTGTGCACTTGCTCCGGAAAAGCTTCCAATTTCTTGATCCTTCTTACTGTGATCTTCTTTCCTCGGGCTTGACTGCAGACTAAAACTATCCAACCTAAACCCATAACTGTTGGTTATGCTGTTTGTTAAAGTACAAATAAATTTGATAATGCAAGAAACATGAAATATTTAGGCTTACTCCTTGAAATCAAAGTTGAAGGTAAAGCCACCTGACATTCCCTTATTATCGCCACCTGAGGATTCTTTGGGTTTTCCCTTAGTATTTTCACTTTTCTTGCATGGAGATGAAATATCAAGGTCTGACATGTCAATTTTGAAGGATGACATCTTGCTAAAATCGCTGTCAAGATTGAAATTCATATCCCTGTTGAAAATTTAATATTTTAAATGATTGCATGTCAACATTTTCTTGTTTAGAACAAAAATACCAAGTATAGCAGTGAGATGGCTTATGGTGCGCAGACTGTGAGCAAAAACAAAGATATAAGGTTGATATATAGAAGAAACTGAAAGTACATGCAAAGAATTGATGGTCTACCATCAAGTTACAGAGTTTCCAGGTATGTGTTGAGATCATACATCTAGCAATGTTATGCACATTTGCAACCATCAATACGTCATACATACATAACAGGCGAGTACATTAATACAATGATGTATAATCAAAGGAAGGAATAGGAAAGCTTTGCAGCAATTACTCATTGTCAAAGTTGAATGCTTTTTTCTTATTCTTGGGAATAGGCCCAAAGTCAAAATACATAGGGTCATCCCCGATGGAAATTGATTTCCACGAGTTGAGGAAGTCGCTCCCAATATCCAGATCTGCAACAAATATAATGGAAAACAATAACTATTAAACCGCCCCACACATAGTATACTGCACAACATCCATAGACAACAAGAAGCAAATAGTGAACATCTTAAAGACTTTTTAATATAGAAATGTGCAATTTGTTATTCTTCTTCAATAGTTCTTTACATTTTACACTGCCAAGCATATCATTCATTTTCAGGCTCGGGATTTTTTTTATATTTTTCCTGCCTATTACCAAAACTTGCATTCTAAGGTTCATAGTGAACATCTTAAAGACTTTTTAATATAGAAATGTGCAATTTGTTATTCTTCTTCAATAGTTCTTTACATTTTACACTGCCAAGCATATCATTCATTTTCAGGCTCGGGATTTTTTTTATATTTTTCCTGCCTATTACCAAAACTTGCATTCTAAGGTTCTTGCCAAATGTATCAAAAATAAATTTTCATCCCCCCCCAACCCCACTCTCACACACACACCACAAGTATCCAGATCAAATCTATGAAACTGGGCAACCCTTGAGAGCTGTATTTGATCAACTCCACGTTTCAATGAAAGACAAACATATTGGAGTTTAGAATACCTAGTGATGAGCTTTTCTCTCTTGAATTGGAAGATGAGGAAGCACCCTTCTCTGTTTCTGCCATCTACAATATAGAGTTTTGTTTGATATGATTATAAAATCAGAATTAAGTTGTGCAGGACTAAAATATCTAGCCGTCAAACAAACAAATAATGGCAAGCAAAACCACAAGGTAAAACCAAGACCCTCCTATCAATGAACACCAATGTTTCTCTTGCCAAGTATTGGGATAAAACAAAATCGAAAATGTTTTAAATAGTAACACTTATACGGAGTTGCTCAAGCTTTTTCTAAATAAATCTTTCAACAGACACTAATGTTACTTTAATTGGAAAAGTGAGGCAATAACATCATCTAAGATTCTTATCCTTTTTCTTATTGTTGATTACGAGACTAGTGAAGAAGCTTGAGATACAAACATGTGAGTGAAAAAAACACCATAAAAGTAATAACACTATGGTTGCTTCAGAAAACTGATACTGCAATCTGTTCCAGGAGATTAAAGACAGTACACGTGAGAGTTTAGCCGAGCTGAATACTATAATGTTGATATTTGCTCATGCTCAAATGAAAGCTCACATCCTAGTATAACAAGTACAACATAGTGTCGTTTTCTCATAGAAATTCAAAAAGTCCAACATTGCTTTGCCAGTTGTGTTAAATATGTTTCCTTCTCTGACTAGGGGTGCAAATTCTATGTACCAAACTTAACACTAAATCCGGAAGTACAGAAACCAGTAGATGTTGGATCTGTCCTTTCCTCATTAATCATCAGATTGAGCATGAAAATGCTGTTTTGAAGTTTAAACACAGTAACACAGGCGCATAAACCAAATCCAAATGAGATAAGCAAAAATGCAACAAATTTGACAAAATGGATCAATAACAGAACCAGCCACACAATGATCCGTTTTCAGTGAAATAAAATCCAGTACCAGATAATCATCTGGAATACTTACGCAATCTAATATCACTTCAAAAAACAAAGGATTAATAATCTATCATACCATCAAATTTTACATTCCGTACTTCACCTTAAAGCGGCATCCCTAGAATAACTCCTCAAATTTGATAGATCAGTTCATAAAAACAAACACTCAAGGATTCCGAATCAATCAGCCGTATTGTCGAATTGAAATTGACGGCCGCGAACATCGGCTAACCGAGTTCAGATAAGAGGAAATTGTGAACGCAATATTGATAGAACCTGTGAATGTATGGGAGAAGGAGACATACATTGGCTTTAGTTCTGTACTCTGGCAGTTTCAGGCGAACCTAAAGAGCTTAAGGACCGTTCTTCCTCTTTCTGCGTCCAGAGCGATGCAGGTCGTGATGGAGTTTCGCGCAATCGCAATCCGGAAACGGAATGAAACCGTACGAACGGGATGGTTTATATACTCCTCCATTGGATATTTGAATTTATTTTCAAACAATTTTATTTCAAAATTGCAGAAAATTAGAAAGTATAACGGGGAATTTACTTAAATAAAGCGAAAACATAGTGACTTCCCCTAAATAGCATCATATGTATTTTTTTCAATGTATCATTTTTAGTCATTATCCATTAGTCATTATCCAAGTAAATATTCGTCATTACTGGACATTATTCCTCTTTCTGGACATTATTAAATGCTATTCAAGGAATCAAACAGTTTAAGTGCTATTTAGTGAAATGAAATTTTAGTGCTATTTAGTGCAAATCTTTCAAATATAAATGCAAGTACTCCGTAGCAACCCCTACATTCAAAAACTATTCAAAACACATCCACTAAAATATGAGTAAAATCACTAAAATGTAGAAGGAGATTAAAAAAAATATTTATCGTAAAATTAGGATATATAATTATAATGACAATATATAATATTAAAAGAAAGTTAAGAAACTATGAAATATTAATATACATCTTCACGGTGTAATATTTTTTAAAATAAAAATAGGTCACTTTTATTTAGACCTGGCAAAATATGACCCGATCCGTTTTTTACCCGAAACCCGACCCGAAATTAGCGGGTTTTGAACATAATTTTTGTGACCCGAACCCGAAGACCCGTTAAAATTTCGGGTCGGGTCGGGTCTGACCCGACGGGCTAAGCACTCTAAACTTAGGAACTAAGATTTTATATTTTTATTTATTACTCAAATATCAAATAGACAAATAATACCGTACTCAAACCCGTTAAACCTAATTGCACCCTCTCTCCATCGGCCGACTCTCCATCTCGACTTTTTTCCGCTGATCGTTGCCGTCTTCCGGCAATTTTGTGCCGTCTCGCGCGCCGGAATCGAAGCAGGGGCGGAATCGCCGGCGGGGACGGCAATTGGCGAACCGGAAACGTCTAGGCTGTGATGGATTCGTTGGCGTCTTCCACAGGGACGGATCCCGAAATTGAGGACGCTCCTGGTACGATGCGGCCAAAACGACGGCGAACTCCAAACCTTCTAGCAAACCCGATCTGATTACCCGATCCGATTGTCTAGTTGAAGTTCAATTTTTTTTGTTTTCTTTCCTTTGTTTTTGACAGCCACATTTATTTGGGTTTGGTTCCATTAGATTATACAATTACGGAGTATTTCTTTGTAGACTTGTAGAGTATTTGGGTCTATATTTGGGTCTAGGTACAATTTTTTGGGTCTGGCTTTTGACAGCTACAATTCTTTATTTTTCACAAGAAAAGTTTCGATTTTTGGAACCTAAGAAACAAGCACAATAGTGGAATTGCTAATCCTAATTCATCATCTTCAGTTGGACGTAACTCATGTTTAACTCTCNTTAAAAATTTAGAATTTAAAATCAGTTTTTTGACTTTTTTCTATTTACGAAATAATGGGAGTATTGTTTAATCTATGTTTTCCATTTACGTGATATTATTTTTCTCCTGGAGTAGCATAAAAGCCATTTGGCCCATTCCTCATTAGCCATATGTACTCAAATTTGTTTGTCTGCTAAATGCTAATAGTCAAAATAGATTTTTTAAAAAAATATAATAATCTGCAATTTTGCATATGTCTAGAACTCAAGATAAGGCTTTTGCTCTCTTGGTTTGCTTTGATTCTTCCCCAACTTTTGATGTGTTTAATACAGTTTATTCATCATGATAAGCTACTCGTGATAAGCATCAAATTGATATGAGAAATGACTTCACTTGAGAATGAACTTCTAATCATTTTGTTTGAACTCTAAATTATTTGGTATTTTGATTAGTGTGCTTGGATGGTTCATTTGGGACATGATGATGTTTAAATTTTTTTGCTATGTTTACTTTTTTGTTGTTGTTTTGAATGTTTTTTTTCTATGTTTTGAAAAAATGCATTGATCACTTCATCTCTGAATGGAAAATTTACAATTTTTAAATACGCCTCTTAACCCGTTGGGTCAACCCGAACCCGATAGCTCTGGGTCATGAACAAGCATCCTTAGACCCGAACCCGAAGTGACCCGAACCCGATGTGACCGAACCCGACCTGACCGACCGTTTTGCCAGGTCTACTTTTATTTTAAGATAATAACTATGAAAGTGTTTTTCTGTGTATATGCATTATTGACTTATTTCTAATAAGTAATTTTTAACTTATGAGTTGTTTATAAGTAATTACTTCTTCGAGTAAGTAAAATGAATTAAATGGCAAATAAGCCATTTGAAAATATATATAAAGAACGAGAGATAGTTTTGTAAATAATCTGATTCGAATGGGAAAATGAAAAAATGGCTTAAAATAATTAAGTAAGACCTGTTTTTTTATTATTTATAAGTAGCTTATAAGTTAACCAATAAGCGTCTAACAAGTCAACTTATAACCACAAAAAAACACATTATCAGCATACTTAAGTGATTTCAAACATCTTATAAGTAATTTTGAGAGCTTATAAACATAGAAAAACACCAATTATGTTTTGCTTATATTTTGGTTCCTCCGCACTTTCTCAAAAAACACACCAAGTACCCACAACGTAACCAGGTTGATTCCAGAAGGGGTAATTATTACATTATGCAAGATTCAATTCCCACATGTAGTGTGGGAGCAATATTTTGCGGTCTCTGTGGGCTATACGGACGAGCTCCTTACATATATGCAGGATAGACATTTCCCTTTAACAGGCTACATGACTCCTTATTTATATCCTTCCAACTGGTGGGGCAAATTATATGGTACAATCGGATGTACTGTACATCATGACAAATTTCTATTTAAAAAATATTTTAGAATGAACACTATTTTATTTAGGAATGAACATCATGTTTGGGAATGAATAATATGATGAGTAGACTTGGAATGAACGCTATATTCTTTGTAAATGAATATTATAGTTGTAATAAAAATGTATGAAAATTAATATTATGTTGATTTTAAAATGAACACCACAGCCATAACATGCTCCACTTTACAGCTACTTACTCTTCAACTATACGGTAATTACGAATCCAAAATAGGGCGTTAGTCTCTCTCCTTACGTCCTACGCAGATTTGCTTTTAACAATGGGGAAAAAAGATAAAATTAGAAGTAAGACATTGAAAATATAATAAACGAGGACTTCCATGTTTTTATTCTCAAAATAGGAGTTAAATTGCATTTACATTACCAGGTCATGCACATTACCAAAAAGTATAGTAATGTGCACATGTACACTGTCACATTACTACAGTGTGAACTTCTATTTCGAAAATAAAAACATGGAACTCCTATTTTGGGACTTTTTCTATGTTTTAGTCCTATTTGGGGTAATTTCTCTTAACAATGTAATGTACTGCATTTTTTTCTTTTTTCTTTCTTTTTTTGTAGCCTTTTTCAATTAATTGTGTTTATGTATTTATGCTTTTATCTTTTTATATATATATATATATAGTTGAATGCATATTTTTAATTACGGAGTAATAAATTAAAAAAGAGATCAAATGAATATATTGTAATTTGAGTTTAAAAAATAGATTTGAAATATATGAATGGATTTTAAGTTTGTATTGCATTTTAGGTTTGAATATGGTGTGAACTCTGAACTATTGAAAATGGTCTTTACTCAATTTAAACCAGTCCCAATCTACTAAGGACTATTTTGTGGATCGATGTTCAACCCAAGATGAGGGCCATTGTTCAGCGAGTGGCATCTGCCAGTGTTGAGGTCCTTACGAACTCTCATTCCCTCTCCCCAATCTCCTCTCGTTTTTGTATCTTCTTCGCCTGTTAACCTGCGTAGCTATGGAAATTCGCAGGTGGAAGGCCGTCTTGTATCCGCCATCGGCCCGGGTCTCTTGGTCCTCGTCGGACTTCACGATTCCGACAATGACGCCGACGCTGATTATATGTACGCAATCCCTATTTTCTCAGTAGCAATTAGCAGTTGCATAAGCAGTTTTCATGTATCCATGTCGAGTATTTGTAATTTCTTTGTTTTGTTCTTTGAATTTGATGATAATGACCAGATGCCGTAAGGTGCTGAACATGAGATTGTTTCCTAACGAAGAGACTGGGAAAACATGGGATCTCAGTGTAATTCAATTCTCTGTCTCTTCATTTTCTTCTGTTAGATCATTCCTTTGCAATTTGCATATAGTCAGTAACTGTGTTTATGTATTAACTATTGAGATTTGTCAATTGCTTGCCTTATTTCAGGTTAATGGAGGAGAGTAAGTTGAAGTGTTCTTTAATCTTTTTTTTAGGAAAACAACATAAATTTTCCATTCACATGGTTTACTTGAGCGGTGTGACTGAGCTCAATTATCTTAATGGAGATTAATTTTAGAACAATTTTTTTTTGTTTTGTTATAAACAACTACTACAAAAAAAAAATATGAATTTTATCATTTTTCGGGCCTTAATTTGGGGTTCAACACACGATCAGGGACTCAAGGCACAATTCCTTTTCCTCAAAGCCCCTTCTAGAGTTCCCAAAAAACTATGTTTGGAACACGGGAAATAATGGGGAAATGATTTTTTAAATTGGAAGTAGTTCTATGTTTGGTGGGGGGAAATTTTTAAAATTGATTTCTTGAATCCAAACCATTTTTTCCCGCCTAATGTCCTTCCCTAGTTTCTTACGGATTCCAAACATACACAAAAGCTTATTGGTGATCTTTTGCACTTCTGGGAATTCAGATCACCTTTGCAATCCCAAGGACATTTTACCATTAATAGAAACTGGTTAGCTCATATGGATAATGCCATTTACAATTTCATAGTTTGAACACTTTTAGTGGGGTTGGGATTCATGAGAATTTGTTTCTTAAAGCTGTTCTTAACTTAAAGGTGTCATTTTTGTTGATAGTTCGTTAACTCCATCTAGCTGAATTTTTGTAATGGCAGGTTATTCAGAAGAATCACGAAATTCTGTTAGGTACTGGTATTTTATTTGTTATTTTTCTCTTTATACTTTTGTTATTGATTAGGGATCATCAAATGGCATAAACAATCATGTGATTATGGCTTGTGCAGTGAGTCAGTTTACATTATGTGGGATTTTGAAGGGAAATAAGCCAGACTTTCATTTAGCAATGCCTCCAGATAAAGCAAAACCCTTCTATGCAGCTGTGGTAGAGAAGTTCAGGAAAACTTACAAACATGATGCGGTCAAAGGTATCTATCACTCTTTCTTGTGCTCATATTTGAATTAAGGTAGTTTTTGTTGAGATGTTAGATAAGACACTACAATGCAATCACATATTCCCTCCATCTTCAAATAAATTTCACGGCTTGGCTTCACGAATTTTAAGAAGAATGTTGAAAAATTAAAAAATGTGTGATCGGATCTCGGAATTTGTTTAGGAGAGATAGAATATTGTGAGCAATATGTTTCACTCCTTAATAGGAAAAATGCGAAGTGTGAAGTTTGAAATATATACTCCGTATTTATTATGTCGCACCAATCTACACCAAAGCACTCAACTTGGTTCCTTCCTATGAGAGACCATGATGCTTGTTCTTAACTTGTAGTGTATCTGTATTGTTTCTATATCTTCATGGTCCTTTGTTCTCTCTAGTAATTTGTAATACTTCTGGGACATCTTCAGCTGATTTTATGACTCTTATGTCATTTTAAATTCTGGTGAATTTTCTGGGATCACTTTATAGTGCCTTTTTTTGAATGTTCTGCTATCACACTCATCTGTTTCTTCCCTTTTTTGGGTTTTTTTTATCACAAACAGATGGCATATTTGGTGCAATGATGAAGGTGAGACTCCCTCTTTTTTCAATTCTGAGCTCCACTTGATGCATAATTAAATTTTGATTATACAGTGTCTCTAAATTGTGGTTGGTTGGTTGAAAGGTGAATTTGGTCAATGATGGTCCGGTTACAATGGAAGTTGACTCAACCCAGAAGACAAAATGAAGGAATGCATAATAAATGGCATGGAACTTCACTACAAGGTATTGTACAAGTGTTCATCTGTTTTATCATGAAGAATATTGATATTTTGAAGTATCTTGGCTTTAACACAAACTTTCATTGTACGTACAATAAGTGAAGTGCATTAGAACTCAAAATCTTTAATGATTCTATATCATATTTTCAATATATCCTGTTCGCCAATCTTGCACGATGAATATTATATTATTAGAGCCTTTCGCTGCCATTAGGTCTTAAAAAAATAATCAATGGTGGGACGCGCTGTGTTGAAGATGTAATAGTAAGCGGCTTGAGTTGGATGGACTGCGTCCCAAAACAAATATTTCGATGCATCTGAGCAAACTATGGATTTTGGATTGCATAAAACCGAATATTCAAATAGGCCGCTGCCACAACACCCTTTATTCACCTCGTCAAAACCTACAAGTTGAACAAACAAGTCTTAAGCTATGTTAGGCACATCAGAATGAGTGATGGTTAACTCATAAATCTGTAGTAGTATATTTGGACAATCAGTCATAAAAAATTTAATTGACTCACCAAACTTTGTAGGATTTTGTACCATGTCTTCCAAGGGTTTGTAGATTTCAATGTAGGCCAATTTGCGGAAGCGAGGTTGCATGGTTCTCAATCTGTCTTGGAGCATCTGGTTGTACTCTCTTGCAGCCGCAGAGTAAGCGTCGAGGCATTTGCGTTCATAAATTGGACTTTGGGAATCCCAAGTGATCACCGTCGGCAAACACCCAATCGGCGGTAGCCCAACCACTCCTATGCGTTGCGCTCCTTCTTCCAATAAACCCTGCTTAAAAAAACAATTATTTTCTCATGGGATATATATGGGTGTTTCTCAGTTCTGGTGCTTATTGGCTTATAATTGATAAGCAGTTTAAACTTATAAGCTGCTTATAAGCCAAATATTCTTTCATGAAAGTAAAATAACTTATACGGAGTATAATAGATAATTCATTTGGAAATATTATTAAATGGTGAGGGACGGAGAAACAAAAAATGGCTTAAAAATAAGTAGGTAAGACCTACTTATTTCTTCTGGCTTACAAGCAGTTTATAAGTCAGCTTATAAGCACAGAGAAATATGCCATGAGCTGACTTATAAGTTAAAAACTGCTTATACAGAGAAACCTGTCATGATCTGACTTATAAGTTAAAAACTGTTCATAAACAGTTTTGACCAGTTTATAGTCACAGAGAAACACCCACATAGTAGACGGAAGCGGCAAAGTGTCTTGTACTCGTGTCTTGTTACCTGCAGAAAGTTTTGAACGAGGTGCAGCAAGAAGTGGCGGTAAGCAGGGAGTGTGTACTGTTGACGCCGTAGCGACGGGGTGCCAAAGTAAGCGTTGAGGTCATTAGTGCCCGAGCTTACCAAGAACACAGCGTTGCTCACCACACGTTGCATTCTCTCCTTCCCCATGCCCTCTTCCAGCCTTGCTTTAAACTCTCTAAAGTATTGAAGCTGCCTCTCTATGGTAATCACGCCTCCCTGGCATTATTATCATAAACACCAATTTGGTACAGCTAGTTTCTATGGTAGTCCTAAGGTCATGTCATTTCTGTTAACCTTAGGTATTTTCTTTTCCATTTCTTTTGCGAGAGAAAAAAAATGTTATCATCAGGGGTAGACATTAGGTCCAGTGGCCCACCATAGCATTTGGCATTTGTTTTTCTACTAGCGGAGCGGATTATATGAAGTAAATGAGAGATAGCATTGTAAATCAACAACGTACAACCTATCCCATTCCCATAAAATGTACGGAGTACAAATTTAACAACATTATAAAATGGGTTAAATATGGTGTTAGTCTCTGCAAATTAGGTGACTTATTTTAGGTCCCTATAAAAGAATGATCTAGTCATCCTTATGAAATTATTTATTTTGAAAATTGTGCTTAAATGTAGGTAGCAATTCTAATTTTGGTGAGATAACACATTTCTTTCTTATTCAATAACTTAATCTTGTATTAATAATAACTCAGACACAATTCTCGTGTCATATATTATGCCTTTCATTGAATTACATATCAATTCTCAAATTTTATTATACTATATTCTAAAAAAAATTGGAAACTAGAGATGTAAAATGATTAGAGACATAATTTAGGGCATGAAAATTGTGTCGGAGGCAATAAAAATGTAAGGTGTTGAAATTTCGGTGGGCCGAGTGAACTGGGTGGAGTGTCGGGTGAGATTTGACCACTTTTTCATATAAAGTCTAGATTCACTTTATAACCACTAGCTTAAAGCTAATAGTTAGTGTTTCTCCTTTCTTTACATGGGAGTAGTATCACTTTAATTATCCGATGGGAGATGGAATCCCAACACTCCTCTCAAGTGGTAACTAGCTTGGTCTAGTTACTACTTGGATGAATGTAATGGGTCTACCATCTCAATCTATTTATAGCTACCTCGGTGAATATCAGGATGAATCGAACCCGAAATGAATTTGGCTCTAATACCATATTGAAATATTGGTAGACCGAGTGAACTGGGTGGAGTGTCGGGTGAGATTTGACTATTTTTTTCATATAATGTCTAGATTCACTTTCTAACCAAAAGCTTAAGCCAATAGTTAGTATTTCACCTTTCTTTATACGAGAGTGGTATTCAGTTTAATTATAAACTGATGTGGGATGGAATCCTAGCATAAGACTAACATGTTAAGTACGAAATAAATGTACTATATCTCAACAAATTAAATTAGAAATGCTAATTATGTTTGAAGACCATTTCCATAGTAAAAAAATTTGAAATGATTATTTGATAATAAAAAATATCATAAGGAAAAAAACCATCTATTTTACATGGAGTAAAAATATACAAAGTATATTACCCTTATAAAAGCATTAATCAATATACTCGGGTAACATTGTTTTTGTGTATTTGTTTGTTGATTCCATTACTTAATGTGCACCATGTCTTATAACTATTTAGCCCAAACATACACCGCCCTGCCCACGTGAGTTGGCACACATGTTTCACACAAAGTACGAAGATTATATTTTTTTTGGCTTGAAAAAATTAATTTTTAACTTTTAAAAATATTTTATAGTTTTTTCTAACGATTTAAAAAATATATGATTAATGTACAATAATATTGTATATCAAAATCTATAATATATCACATCAAACACGGAAGAGGACAAATTCATTTTTTTCAAAATCATACTAGTTTTTTTTACATATTTATTTAGGTGATTATTTAAATAATTGATTTTTTCATTCTTTAATTCTTCTACTATTTTCTAACTCTTTCTATTTTTTTCTAATTTCTTCAAGTTTCTTTTTCATAAAATCATAATGGGCAAAATTAATTTGGAATTTAGTTAGTATGCACTATGCATGAACCAATTCAACTACATTCATTCATTCCTCTTTTACAGCTTTACTACGGTAAATTCATGGCTAGTCCGTAATTTTTTTTGAATGCTATTGACTCTATTACAAGGTAGTATCTGTTCAACATGCATTTATTACTTCCTGTGTTCAAAAATATTTTTCCCGACTTGATTCGGTTCGGAGATTAAGAAAAGTTAAAAAGTATAAAGACTTTTCATGTTTGTTATTGATATGATAGAATAAAGTGAATAATGTAGATAAAAAGTAGGAGTATAAAGATCATGATCTTGTTTGGATCAATGTTTTTGATTAGCGTTAAAGTTTTAGATAAAATTTTGACGGTCTAGATTAAATCTAAAAACGCTAAAGGTAAAGACTACCGTCGGTTAGCATTTTTAAAATGCTAACACTAATCTCTAATGTTGATGTTAAACGAGACTCATATTCATTAAGATTTTGTTGCCAAAATAAGAAACGGATAAGAAATTTTTTGCAGGAGGAAAGGGAGTATTTAAAAAATGTACGTACGATTGATGGAGAAGTCAAAGGGTCATATCCGGAGCCACCGGAGGCAAAACTCACGCCGGTGGTTAACTCTTCCAAGCTCAAACTCTGGTCCAAATATGGCGGTATGTTCTCTTTCACTCCGATATACGACGCTGCATATAATATACATGCTCCAGATCACTTCCATTTTTTGTTATATTATTACTGGTAAAACATGGGATAATATATCATAGATATTAAAATTTTCTATAGTTAAAAAAGAAATACCGATGAAATCGGTGACAAGGCGGCCGTTGGAAAAGCGTCCGGTGGGGACGTGGTTGGGGAAGTCGCGGCCGTAAGGAGGGAAGTTGCATTTAGCGATGGTGAGTATGAAGTTGTTGTTGCCGGGGTCTACGGTGGAGTCTCCAAAGACGAACAGGGGAGATAATGAACGGTTCAACAATGGCAGATGATCACTCTGCTTCAAGGAAGAAGAAGAAGCTCCAACCATGTTGGAGATGGTGAAGATGAAGACGGCAACATGAAGAATACTGCTCCCCATAAGTGCTGGGAGTGCAACCCACGACCTATTAAAGTTGTGAGAGCCCATCTATCTTTTTTTGCCTCCTCTTCTTTATTTTGCCTATGTGAAGCTTTTATATATATGCATTACATATACACACACTTATTGAGGCAGCCATAAATGTTGTCGAAAGAAGTTCATGTTTTCCTTATTCGAATGTCCTCAAAAAAGTTTGGTCTGGTCTGGTCTGGAGGGGCTGTGTGTACCCAAACCTTGCCCCTACAAAATAAACATATACTGACCCGCAATATTAAACACTTGTCACGTTTAAGTTGTTCCAATCAGGTGTCGGTAATATTTCCGATCCAACCCGATTCAAGTTTTTATTTTTCGGGTGACATTTTAATACTTTAAAATCGGATTCATTCGGGGTGGATGGCGTAGGGCAGTTTTAACTTTTAAGTAACTTGTATCTCTAACGATTTTGCATTGTACTTAGTTTGGAAAGGATTGAATAAACCATATTTGTTTGATTTGTTAGTTCCAAGGTGTTGACTAATCTTTTGTCAAAATAGAAGCTAAAATTTGTTATGAGTTTACTATGTAGAAACCTCTATATGTTAAGAGAAGTTTATTTTATTTAGACTCTCAGTGTTGCTATTTTTTCAAGGGTAATTGACACATAAGATGCTACAACACACTGTGACAGGATCAATAAGGCTTGAGCGGAAATTAGAGTCTTCGATCTGCATTTTTACCAGCAGAGATTTATTGGGATTACAAATACTTATTGAGATTTATTTATTAAATATCCAGCTAATATTTACTGGCCTTTATGCCTTTATCTAACTTGTGGATTACAATTAAATAGGTTGTATTCAAGAAAACTTCTAATTAACTATTCTTATTAGGGTTAGGGTTTGAAGCTAGAGGCATATATTTACGCAAGAAATCTCTGAGATTTCTTGGAGCGATTGTGAGGGAAAAATGCCGAATACATGCTGATCTAAGATCATGCATTCTCGTCACATCTTGAAGTCATCCTTGCGTGAAGAAGTTGCGATCCACATGAAGAAGGAGATCTTCATCGTCAAAGAGATCGTAACATCCAGAAGTTACCAAAATAGATATGTACATGGTACGGATTAGAATTTCTAGATTAGAGATTTTGTCATCACAATTCAAAGATGTGTGTCTCATCATGTTGTTATGTACTGATGTTGTCTACGTCTAGTGAATTAGTGAATGGCTATAACACGTAGGGCTGTTCATTGGTCCAAGACCGGACCGAACCGGACCGACCCGGACCGGACCGAAGACCGAAATGAGTAAATTCTATGACCGAAGACCGGACCTAAATCCATTCGGGTTTGGACCGGACCGGACCGAAATATTTAGGACCGAACCGGTCCGGACCGATTGGACCGAAAAAATTATATTTTTTTAATTATTTAGATCAATTAAATATATTTTAGACTTTTTACTTTGTACTATTCAAATAGAAAATGAATAAAAAAAATAGGTAGCCTTAAAATGGATACACAATATGAACTACTTCAATGTAGAACCAAAAAACAAATATGAAATGTTTTTTTTAAAGATTTTTTTAAAATTACTTAATAAAAAACACTTTAAATTAAATAAATTAAAATATTTATTAAAATAGAGCATCAAAGTATAATATGAAATTTAAAAAGTAGAGTTTTAGTTTTTAGGTCTTTTAGGTCCAGTAGGTCATTAGGTCCAACCGGTCCGGACCTAAATCATTTCGGGTTTGGACCGGACCGGACCGAAACCCGAATGCCAAAATTTTCTGGACCGAAGACCGACCCGAAATCCATTCGGTCCGGTTCGGTCGGTTTTTTCGGTCCGGACCTAAATGTGAACAGCCCTAATAACACGGACGTAGACCTCGCAAATGTAGAAGAGTTTCTCCTAATTGCGTAAATATATCCGGTATCATTCTTTATATTTTTAGCATTCTACTCAGTAGGTGTTGTACATAAATCTGATTTTGGATTCGTCCAAAGTAACTGTGGTCAGATCTGAAATGCCGAAGGATGAGATTGTTAGTTCTATTTTTCATCCCTATGTGTTTTTTAGTTGAGTTGTTGTAAGTCTAGTTGACATTATTTTTGACAAACAAATAAGTCTCAAATGTTGTTGAAGAGACCTATATATACGAAACAAATCTCTGGGATTTCTTATAGTAATTGTGAGGGGAAAAATGTAGAATACATGTTGACCTAAGAGCATTCTTGTCGCGTCCTAGCTAGATCCATCCTTGTGTGAAGAACTTGTTATCCACATGAAGAAGGAGATCTTCATCGTCAAAGAGATCGTAACATCCAGAAATTGAACGTGAGCTGAACCGTGGATTGCCAACCATGTTTGTCATTGTGATCCCGGTGGAGATGTGATAGCCAAAACTGATTTATACATGGTACGAATTAGAAATCCATGGTTAGAGATTTTTTCATAACACTTTAGAGATGTGTGCCTCGTCATGTTGTTATGTACCGCTGTAATCTACATCTAGTGATTTAATCGAGGGGTATAACACAAACGTGAACCCCGCATATGTAGGAGAGTTTTTTTGAATTGTGTAATGGTGTTGTTCTTTATGATTTTTATATTTTTAGCATTCTACCCAGTTGGTGTTGTAACACCCTTTGTGTCATCTGCTTTTGTCTGTGTGAAATTTCAAAGCATAAATATGATGTTAGATTGGTCCCACCGTGGTCAGATGTGAAATGCCAAAGGAAGAGATTGTTAGTTTCATTTTATTTCATCCATATGTGTTATTTAGTTGAGTTGTTGTAAGTCCAGTTGGCATTTTTTTGACAAACAAATAAGTGTGAGATGTTGTTGTCTAGCCGTTTTGTCTTAGGTTAGAGTCGTAAGATCTTATCTGTCATCATGTTGTTGGAGAGTATGCTATGTTACTCAACTCATCAAACGCCGTGAAGAATCCTAATTAAAGAATATCTCTTTTTAATCAAAGGTTCTAGCCTGAAAATATATATTGGATTGCGATGTGTTATTATAAAGAGCCATAAGGATGCTAGAACTCATTTACTTCTCATGCGCAAGTCTTGAAGAAGAAGTTGTGTGATATGTGATACAACCAGCCTGGACGAAGGGTTCCTGGATGAACTCTGCTAGGGTTATACCTTTCACTATATAACCTGCGCCTCCCCTCACAAATGATGTGCCGAATATACAAGAGCGATCCTGAGAGGCATTTGCGAGAGCTCAATAATTGCAAAGATTTTCGACACCTTGTTTGACGCCGAAAACCTTCAATCAAAAAGTGACGGGAATGAGATGGAATGGAATGGTAAATCAGAAAAGTGGAGGGAATGTCGTGGTAAGTGCGGATGTCGTATCCACGGGGATAGCGTGATTGATTAGGAATTGAGTACAAGGTGCAACTAAAGACTAATATCAAATTGCAAATGTGGATCAGGGTCAAAATGAGGGGATGATCGAAATGATAGGAGAAGTGAAGCAAATGCAAATAAAGTGAACTAAGCTATAAATGAGATGCGAAAGATAGGAGAGAGATAAAGTAAAGACATGAATGAGATGAAGAAAATAAGGATTTAACACTAAGAGACTACTAAATAAATGTAAAAGAGCCTAAATGTAAAGATTGGAGCTCCCAAAATAATATAATGGCACATGAAAGGGATGAAATATATGAACAAACCCTAGTCTAATAATATGGAATGAAAAATTAGCTCTATGTAACTTGTGGATCAAGTTTAAAGAGATTGTATTCAGACAACTTCTAATTACCTATTCTTAGTAGAATTAGGATTTGAAGAGGCCTATATATATGTAGCAGAATACATGTTGATCTAAGAGCATTCTCGTCGTGTCACACAGCCATCTTTGCGTGAAGAAGTTATTATCCACATGAAGAATGAGATCTTCAACATCAAAGAGATCGTAACATCTAGAAATTAAACGTGAGCTGAATTGTGGGCTGCTAACCATGTTTGTCCTTGTGATCTCGATGGAGATGTGATAGCCAAAACATATCTGTACAGGGTACATGTTAGAAATTCTAAATTAGAGGCTTTGTTATACTCCCTCCATCCCCCTAAGATCTTCTCGTTTTGACTTTTTGTGGTTTTTAAGGAGAGTTGAAAAAAGGTGAAAGTTTACCAAAATAACCTTAATGAAAATAGGTGGGGTGTATTAAATAAGGTGGAAAAGGTGTAATAAATAAAGTAAGTGAGGTAGTTGTGGTATTTTAAATGTTAAAAAAGGTAATGAGAAGATCTATGTGAGACAAATAAAAAGGGCTAATGGAAAGATCTATGTGGGACGGAGGGAGTAACAATTTGGAGAAGGCTATCTCATCATGTTATTATACACTTTATCTAGTGATTTAGAGGAGAGCTATTACATGGATGTGGGCCTCGTAAATGTAAGAAAATTTCTCTAAACTGCGTAAATATATATATGGTGTCGTTCTCAATGTTTTTTGTATTTTTCACATTCTGTCAAGTAGGTGTCGTAACGCTCTCTGCGTTATGTGTTTCTGTGTGTGCGAATTTTCAAAGCAAATATTTAATTTTAGATCAATCCAAATGTGATTGTACCCGGATATTTCATGATGGACTATGATCCGAGCTTGGTATCCCTCCCATGATCCATTCGTAGGTTGATGGTTGGGGCCTGAGGGAGACCTCATCCGTCCTTAAAAGATTACCACAGTTTGACCAGTCCCAAACTGTGACACTTTTTGACTGTGAATTATGGAAAATATATATTTAGTTATAATATAAATTTAGTATAATTAGGTTTATTTAAAAATATAATTTTGAAATATCAATTTTTTATAATATTTAATTATTTAAAAACAATATTTAATTTGTGATAAAAAAGTACTACAATATGACAAAAAAGAAACAGTGATAATCTTTTAAGGAAGAGAGGAAAGAGTATGTAGCATGTGCATTTCATCAATAATTGTGAGTATATAAATGTGATGGTTTGGAGTACTCCCATCACCACCCCCAATAAATCCTTTTCTACCTACCAACATTTACAATTGTCCTGCCATTGCTAAAAATATGGTCGTACATGCATAATCAATTAATC